ATATCACTAGTAGGGTGATATGAAAGAAACGGCTCAGCTAGACAAGTCATATGATCAGTTGCACTAGAATTCATAATCTATGAATTTTTTATATCAGTGCAAGAAGCAAGAGGGTGTGTGATCTTAACAAACACAGTTAAACAAGTGTCATGTGGCTTACTAAAAGTATCAGTAATGGCCTTAATTTGCTCCAACTCTTCTCGTCGGATAGTCACATATGGTGATACTTTACCAAGTTTGTCTAGAACTTGTTGCTTCCCGTGAAGGCGAAAACACATGTCTTTTGTGTGTCCAGGCCCTTTACAGTAGATGCACGAATGTCCCATGGACAAAAACAGAAGAAGGCAGCACAAAGAGTGTGAATAATTACCGCAGAAGTCAATGAAGTCTTCGAGAACCCCAAATAGCGATGGAAAGATCATATATGAGTAATAGAGGTTCAAGAAAGCTAAAAAACAAACTCAAATTTGCGATCCAAACGATGTTTGTTGAACAAAGTGGAGGCAAATCTAAAAAGAAGATGGACCGGAAATGTCTCTGGAAAATTTTTCCGATGACAGCTAATGGTGTATAATGACTGTGGTAGGACTGGAATGGGGCCAGGACCGACAAAACCAAAGCACAGCTAGTGAAAAGCGCACTGAAGGCAAAGAACGATCCCGCACAGTAGGCAGCAACTAAGGCTAGAGGCAGGTGACTCTGGAGGCAGGCTCTGGGTTTAGCTGAAGCAGAGGCTACAAGATCGAAGCTCTGATACCAACTTGAAAAGAGAAAAAAATGGACAAAATATTATTGCTTTTGTAAAAACATAGGTACAAAGGGTTTCAATATTTATAGAAAAACTAATTGGCCTAAAGTAATAACCAAATCCTAAGAAATAAGGAAACATAATCTGATAAAGGAAATAAATAATAACAAATATCTTCCATATTTACAACAAACAACAACAATAAATTAATAAAAATTATTTTTCTATCAAGATTCAAGAAAAAATAGAAAAGTGAAATAGAAAATAAACAATGTAGCAACTAGCAAGGCTGCCGTTGATGAGTCTCTTTGCATATCAAAAATGGAAACTCCCTTGAAAAATCCATACGACCAATGAGAAGCCATTAATAGAATAGAGTTGAAAATCACTATTGACACTCTACTACATTGTTTATCAAAGTACATTACTCATTGTGAAAACAGGATTTTAATTACTTCGTTGATTTTTGCTGCTTCAAGCTAGGACGATGTATTTTTTGTTCATGTAGGTTTTAATACTTTTTTAGCAATAAATATTGGCTGTGCTTTTTTCTCCTAATAAATGTTCCTTGTCTATAATTCATCAATCTATTTATGTATTTCAGTTTGACTTGTTTTCTTCATCCAGATGAATTTTGACACTTGCGCAACCAGGGAGACAACTTATCCATGCAGTATATTTGATGATCGACATCCATCTACTGTATCAATGACTGTGCTTGTCGTTGTTGAGATGTTCAATGCTTTGAACAATCTTAGTGAAAATCAATCTCTTGTGTAAGTAATTTTATGTAATTTAATTTGATTTCTTAAGTTGTTGTTCCTTCCTGGCTTCCTGCCAGTGTTATTAATGGCAGATGGTGGTCCATGGCGGCCTTGTTAAACAACTGTAAAATATACTATAAGACTTGCACAATATAATATAATAAAAATCTAACAACTTAATTCAAACATTTTTTAGCATATCAAACTTACTAGAAGTATCAGTGTCATAATGTCACCAGAAAGTACAAACTGTAATGTAAATGCAATAGAAGGGAAACAGAACTCGGACAAGTTCTAAAATAACATAATTATGTGTCATAATGTCACTAGAAAGTAGAAACTATCAAGTAGCAACAATTGCTACAGAACAAGTCGAGATAAGGATAAAAAGTGAAAATAAATGGGTGGGTTAGAAATGTGTGGAACAAATTGATGAATCGGTTATAAATTAAAAAAAAAAGGTTCCTTGGGTTACCAATAAATGAATGGATAACAAATTTAGTTAAGAAAAAAGAAGCAGGAGTGAAAATAGAAGCCAAAACAAGGTCGGTTTGATTTTTGTTCTAGCATGAAACGAACCACGTGTCAACACTTTACATCCATGGTTGTGGACTCATGGAACTGAAAAGCTAAAACAATTTATTTTTGTCTTTCCTGTAAATATGAAGAAGTGATTTGGACTCCTTGGAGATGCATCAGTTGCTATTGCGTCTTAAAAAAAATGAATACTTAATAAGAAACTTGTCTTTTTTTCTACAGAAGGGGAACAAGAGAGGTTTGCATAGCACAGATAGTAGGAATTGCGTCACCTATTGTTTAATTATAATTGGGAATTGAAAGAGCAATTTTTGCTGTAAAAATTTCTAATTAATGATGTAACAATATTCATTTGTCTGTTTCAGGGTCATCCCTCCCTGGAGTAACTTGTGGCTTGTTGCTTCTATAATCCTAACTATGCTTCTTCACATTCTGATTTTATATGTTCACCCACTGTCAGTTCTTTTCTCTGTAAGTACTTTTCTAAAGCTGTGATCCACGTTTCATTTTCTTGAGGTTACAACTCTGCCTATTTATCTTGTACATAAGCAATCAGAATAATTTTTATTACCATTTGTTTTGGCAGGTAACACCATTATCATGGGCTGACTGGATGGTTGTCCTCTATCTTTCACTACCTGTACGTTCTTCATCTTTCTGAACTTTTTTTATTTATTTTTTATTTGGGCCCTTTTGTCCTATTCCAATGTTTAGGTAGTTAATTTCCTTAAATGAACGTTATGGGAGGTGTATTGCGTCTTGAATTTTAGTACAAAGTGCTTTTAACTTATAATATTGTTATATCAGAATGACCTAAATATGGGTGATTGCTAAAAGCTAGCAACACTGGTCAGGGGGCTTTCTTCTCTCCTGAGGCTATGTTTATTGCTAGATGTGGAGTATTGCTACTCGTCAATGTGTCCTAATCCTTTGTTTTCTTATCCAGGTTATAATCATTGATGAGGTGTTAAAGTTCTTCTCCAGAAATCCCATTGGTAATCTTTATCCTATCATGTTAAACTTTCAGCTGAATCTATATGATACTAGCACTGCATTTGATGCATATTGAGAGACAACTCTAACGGAACAATTCAAGCGGTTGAGTCACTAATTTTTTCATTGTTAACTGATTGATGACCAATGCACAGGTCTAAAAATTATTATATCCGTGGACAGAATAATGTAAAAATTATGATATCCTGTGTTGCATTATTTTGTATGCAATAGAATTGGGATAATGAAGGGCTAGGGTTATTGGTCTTTTTTCATTTTATATTGTGGACAAGATTTTGTCACGTAGTTTGGTGGATGACAATAATTAATGAAATGTGTTGTCCTTTAACTTGTTTTTTGCCAAGTTCTTATACTATATTAATAACCAAACAAGATATAATTTATTTTGTATCGTGTTGTCCCTTATTTATTAGCAAATCAAGTTTTTATGTGGAGGTAGTAGCATTCAATGTGGCAAGTAGTAGGATTGTTAGTCTCTGGAAATTAACAATCATCATGGAAAAATATCAGTGGCTACATTTTTTACAGTGCTTTGTCGTGGGATGCATATAGGCATTAGTCATGTAACCAACACATCTATATAAAATATTTTTCATATAGCTGATGTGATGACTCTTATGGTTTTTAGGTTTGAGGTTCAGATTATGGTTCAGAAGGTCTGATTTACTTCCGAAAAGAGAATTGCGTGATAAGTAAGATGTGGAGTACTATTTCACTATTTGAGAAACGTCTGTACCTGCTTATAAGAAGTCAGATATTTACAGTGGTATCCTTGATCGGATCTTAATCATCAACCTCAATTTGCATGGCAGTCAAGGAGTTAAGCAAGGTACCTTAATAGATACTGTATAATATTTTCTTTTTTTGTAATATTTATATAATCCTGAAAATGCCAGTGATGTAAAACAAAAAAATGTAGGTGTCTATTGGCTGTTTTTATCTTCATTTATTTTATTTTTTCTTCACGGTCTGTATTTAATCAATTTTGCTAGCGCAAGTACCTAGAGGCACACATGTTAGCCTCTTATGAGAAAGTTACAGTTATGTCAATGTGTTGCGGGGAACCAATATAGAGAGAGAGAGAGAGAGATAACACTGGAGAATCATATAACAAAACTGGTTGTTGTGGTCACTTGCTGTTCATCACTTGTTAGTTGCATGGCATCATTTCATTCTAATAACAAAAATGTTTATCTTTTCTAGTTAATAACTTTGTGAATATTTATGAGATTCTATAATCTGGCACACGGTGGATGTTTTAATAAATTAGTGTAGTAATTGCCTTTAGACATCTTTCAAAGATTAATTTCCATTGGGATTTCCTTAGGCTATATAGTAGTTCCTGATGGTTCTGTGGCAGGGTGCTATGAGTCTATTCCTTGGTTTATATACAAGATGGTTTTTTGGTACATACTATCTGTATATGCAAGCTTTATTATTTTTGTAGCTGAATGCTGCATGTTAAACCGGTGCCATGGCAGTAACTAGAAGAACGTATACCATTTTCTCATTGTGAACTTGTTTTTTTTTTTTTTGTAATGGTTTATTCCACCTCGAGTATCCTTTGCTTTTATCACGGGCCTGATGATGCTATGGCATGTGAACCTCTGGCTTGAACTTGACGCTACAAACATTTATGTAAAAGCTTTACTATTGTCGTAGTTAAGTCAGTGCTGCATGGTAAATTGGTGTCATAGCAGTAACTAGGAGAACTTGTGCCAGTTTCTTATTGTTATATTGCTTCCTTTTAAGATCAATGGTTTTGTAGCTTAAACAGTTCATTCCAATCTTGAGTAACCTCTGCTTTATCTTAAGAAGCCTGATGTGACTTGGGAATTTGGGATGTTTCTATGACATGTGAACATCTGGTGCAAACAAAATTGGAAAGCATTAACAAGCATTTATAATGTAGTAAAAATATAAAACTGATTATTAATAAATTATATACATATAAATCGTATTTTTTTATTTTCCCTTTATTCCACTAGATGTTTTGTCATCTACAGCTACCCTTGCTGTTATATGAGAAAATACACATTTATTTGGGGAATGACAAACTGCCTGGTGAACTTGCTAATTGCTCTTTTTGTTAAGATAAATCATTTTCCCCATAGCATTTTATCACCTTGACTCAGCTGGGTATTCCTACAGTGGCATATTAGATATCCATCTACTGAACATGGCTAAACATTCTTCAGGTCTGTTCTCGGGAGCTGTATGCCTTCCACCCTGTAAGTAAATTTCTCAAGAACAGAGGTGATGTTAATCATATAGGCAATTGTGATTAATTGCTACTGTTGCATGAGATGAAGGTGTAGAACAGGGCTTACCTTCACAGTAGCAAATGTCATCCGATTTGAGTAAGTCCTCGTGTATCTATCAATAATTAAGTAAATAAATAGTGAGATTAATCTAGCTTTTCAGATAGATATAGTCTTGTATCAGTTTCCAGTTTAGGGCGTACCCTGCAACTTGGCCATTTGAATACCATTGCCTCCAGTCATCCACAATGGTGTAGTTTAAAGATCTTATCCACGCTTGAGTCGCCAAGAATGGAACTATCATGTCATGATCCCCACTGTTAACAAAAGTTAGTTTAATCGCCTTTATGAAACTCAAACCTCTTGGCCAGTTACATGTTTAATGCCAAAAACAAGGGTGCAGGTTTACTGAGCAATGTGCAAAAAAATCTTGACCTGTATATTAATGAACGGTACCCTTTTCTGCTGAGATTTACATGATACTGGAAGCTGCTAAGGATGTCGTACTCAAAAGGTATGTCATTGTTACAGCGTTTCCATTTCCCTATACTTCCCTGAAGGGTATAGCCATATAAGGTTGTATGAAACTTTTTAGCATACGCTTTTGAGAAAATTAGAGTCATATATTTACGGTAACTATACCTTTCGAATATGCAGCGCATTGCGAACATTATCATCGTTGGCCCAGTAGGTACAGAGGAAATAACCATGAGACTAGAAATGGTAAAAGAAGAAAATCGGATATTTTTAGCTTACTGATTAGTTTATAAAATAGATATGAACTACAAAATACATCGTAAATTCTTGACCATTATACGTAGGATCTTATACAAATGTTCAGCAATTAAAATCACTCAAGTTTATACGATGATTTAAAGAAATCGTATATCATTTTATGATCTAATTTTAACCGTGTAAGATTCAACGATGAAAGTTAGACCGTTTTACTACGATAATAAGAACAGTATTTTGACATTTTCCTTAAATGTGTGTGGGCCTGTGTGTATGAAACTTCGTAAGGTATGAAAAGTTACCAGGCATCCTAAGGGTGGCAGCGAGAGACGAGAACTCAAAAACGTCGACGGCTTTGCAAGAGACATCCTCCTATGGACTTCTATTGGATTACGCAAACCAAATTCGCATTTGGGTTCCAAAATATTGCCCGTCTCAAGTCCTGAAATAGACTGAAAAAAAACAAAATATAAGTTACCAGCTTTGCGATTGTGACTTAGGTTATTTCAATCTATTTCTGCGAACAGCATGGCTATTCGTCGTGAAACCGACGTTAAAAACTTCTTATGAATCACGTGCTTAGATCACCACATAGCATTTCTATTGTCATTACCGTAGTTAACCCCAAAAAAAAGGAAGAAATGCGATGGTTACAACAATAAAAGAAAGAAAGAAAAACCAAAGTCACATATCAACTGTAGTTAACAATTGACGTAGATTTACGTTCGCCTACTTAGCATTTTTATGGTGCTGAAACCGGATGACAAAAACAGAAGAGGCAACAAAAGCGATGGTTACATTGCTTACCTCCTGGTAGGATTCGATGTCTCTTAGACAAACAAAGTTTCTGGGGTCTGGATTGTGATACTCTCCTCTACAATTCTTTCGCAGTGACTGTTCACCCAGTAATTCATCGGAACTTGTTAGCTTTTCACCTTTTGGATTTAAAAAGGAAAATTAAGATCAATTACCTTTGCTGACTCTTAAGAATATAATTACCTCGTAGAGTTCATCAGATATTAGTCCCATGCCATGACAAAATGGTATTGCGTAGTCACCTTCAGTTGGTATTGTTAAGGGATTCCCCAGCAAGTATCCCTGAATAAAAGAACAGTTCCTAATCAATGTACTTAATTAACGAAAACAGTATTTTATTTTATCCTGGTCCATTTATATCGGACAACTTTGTGGAGGCTGTTAAAAGTAAATGGCACTAATTTGTATAAGGATGAAAGACTTGCTTGATATCATTTGACAGTTTCTTCTACAATCTGAGTTTGTGTAACTAGTACCATATATCACCTGAGGGATACCAAAAATGGCAGAAAATTATTAATTTAAATGCGCAAACCTGGAGATTTATCCACGGCTGCACTCCACCTTCATTTCCTGCGGGCAAGAAAATTTGGGGGGAAAGTAAACCGTTAGAATACTCATATGAATGATCATTCTATAGTCTTTAGTATTTAGTAACACAGGCACATTGGAATACTATGGTATCCTTGTCAGTTGTCACAAACATTGAAGAACCCATTAGCTGCTATTTTAGCTAATAGTTTCAATTTTTGCATTCATTTTGACCCATTTGTAAGTGCGTTACCATATGAAATTTCTTGAACAATTACTGGGACAGGACGGCCTGAGTATGAGTCGCCAGCAATATACACTTCATTTGAGAGAAATTTCGGATGATCAATCAGCCACTACAGAGATTTAAAGATGATTATTCCATTTAATTCGAGTTATTCTGATCTTGATTTTCTAAACTCAAACTTCAAAAAGATAATAATAGTGAAAAATTAATATAATGAGAATTAGAAATGCTGTACCTTCCTAAGAAATTGATGAGCATGGTGAACTAGCTTCCAGTCACTTTGCTGAACAGCACGTTCTGTTTTGGGATAAGAGAATCCAGTACCGGCAGGTAAATCCAAAAAGATAATGCTACTTGCCTGACCAGCAGAAATTTTAAAACAATTTAATTTTATATCAAACACAGAGTAATAACAAAGAAAGATCTAAAAGAATTATTAATATCAATGTCATCAACGTATCTAATTCATCCAACAAAAGTGTCCGTGCACACTCAACCTTAGTCCATGACTGTGGCTTCAATTCCAAATTAGGTAAGCTTCCATTGTATTCCTCGTTTTTAAATGTCAGTGGACCTGCAGTACCGCCGATATAATAATAAGCATCTAACTGTTTACTTGATATTCTAACTAATGAGGCTTTAACATATTTTGTGGATGAATCTGATAAATGACTAAGGCTTTTGAAATTAAATCGAGAAAGGCGTTCGATCTAAAAAATGATACGGGCATCTTTGAATTCATTTACTATGCAAAAAATGGGCAAATTTTTACTATCAAACGAAGCTGTGCATGTTTTATTTTAGAGAAATTTTTCTCATTTAACAAATTCATCGAAATTGGAGCAAGCATTTTTTTTTTCTGTCTTTTTTTGCTTGTGGGGCCCACCTAAATATGTCTTTATATCCATTTACTAAAATGAATAATTTTTTTTATTTTAATCCTTACTTTTTTATATTTTCCTCCGTGTTCCAAAAACTTTCCTCATTTAGTCAGGTTGTAAGTACACTCATTAATCCGAAAGTTTGCTCCTTTACATGAGATAATGTTTTTTCATGTAACATGAGAAAAGTGCCCTTTTTTTTAATTTACCAAACAGTTTTCTTAAATGTTCTTAAAGTATTTTGCAACATGGCAAAAGAAGCTATGATATACGTTTTGTTTTTTAGAAGAAAATCAATCGAGCGAACTTAGAGTGGTCCAGGACCAACAAGTATTCGGTGGGACTAAAGTGAGAGAAAGAAAGAAAAAGTTGAGGAGAGAGGAGAGAGATAAGAGAAAAATAAAATAATACAGATGTCAATTTTTGAGTGAAAGGACCATAGTGGTACGAGAGCATATTAAAATTTCCAAATCAATGACTAGGTCGTATATGAAGTTTTTGATATACTACGTATAGGCAGGGGAGGGCTAGGGTGAGCGGCCAAACCCTTCCCCCCTCCAAATAAAAATAAAAAAGTGGATCGCATCATTCTCTTGCAATGGACAAAGTTGAGATTGCAATGGCGGAGGAGGCATCTTTTTGGGGCTGAAGTATAGGAGCAGAGGCTCTTTTTCTGATTGGGTCATCTGTGAAAGCGATTGTTGGGATTTCTTTGGGTGCAGAAAATTGCTCAACACAAGAAAAGGCCTTTGCTTTGAACGATTAAAGGTTTTCCTGATATGGGTCAGTTTCAGAACAAAAGAAAACACAAAGAGATGCATGTGGGAAGATAAACATAGTGAGAACAGATAAAAAAAATTCCTGATATGATGCTCTTCAGCCCCAAAAAAAGTTCCCCCCACCCCAATCCTAACTCCACCACTGCGTATATAAAGGTTTTTTTACCCTTTTGCCGCAAAAACCCAAATGTATCATCATTTGATTTTTTTTTAGCAAACTACTTATCAATTTATTTTGAGTGGACAGGCATGGGGAGCATGCACGTTTAAATAGCGCATAACCTTCATGTGCAACTTTAAAAAAAAATCAACACAATGCAAGACATGAATTTAGTCGTGCGCGTTTAAGTCATGCATGCATGATATGCATAGAACTTAGTAGGCGCATTTTGGCTTTCGCACAAATCGTGTATAAGTTAATGCGCGACTTAAAACATACATATTACGCGTACGCATTCCACTTTCGTTAAATTGATAAATAGTTTGAAAAAAACTAAACCAATAATGTCTTAAATTTTGCATAAAAGGGTAAAAAAAACACGTATAGCAAAGTATACCCAACTTAGCATAAAATTTCTCGTCCACGTCATTATTTTCACGGTAATTTCTACTTCTCGCATCAAAACTTATAGGGCAACTTTGGTATTCATTACCTATTTCAAAGACAAGACCAGAAAGACCAGAGCAACCGGGACCTCCCGTTAGCCAAAGCACAAGAGGATCCTCTTTAGGATCATTCTCTGACTCAATAAAATAGTAGAAAAGTTCCGCTTGCTGCTCCGTTTCAGTTTCACCCACTCCCACGTACCTAACGAGAGCATAACAATTAACAATTCAGTTTTTATGCTATGCCATACCATACCATACCATGCATTTATTCAAAATTTATAGACAACTTTTGAAAGCCATAACATAAATTAGGTATCGTAGTTTTAACTTTACCCAGTTTCAAGTACAAAAGGAAGTGGTCCCTGGAACCCAGGAAGGAACTGCACTATGGAATGAGATGTTGCATGCTGGGAGCAAATCTGTAACACTAGCGCAAGAAATAGTATAATAATCTCAAACAAGCTTCTAGAATTACCACCATAATGCGAGATAAGCCTTGCCATCAGAGTTTCTTGTAATATCCCAGACCACTTATCTTCTCTATCCTGTGCGTACGAGGAAAAATGATTTGCGGTCATATTAAATACATGATTGGGGGTCCTGTGGGTCATTCAAACAACCAAATGATATACTAGCGCATAAAAATTGAGCAAGTGAAAATAAGGTTATATATCGATCTTCTTCAATATCATTTTTAACAAAAATTTAAAATTTTAATCTTAAACTCGCTCCGAACATAATTATCTCTCGTGAAAATATATGTAATTTATCACAAAAAAAAATAGATTCTTCGAACAAATATAGAGATATTTATTAACTTTGAATTAACTTATTAATAATAAATAAATCTTAACATTAATTTATATTTTTAATTAATAAATATATTATCTTATTTTAAAAAAATTAAAATTAAAAAATAGATAAAAAATAAAAACACTAAACTGAGAGAGAGAAAATTCTTCTCTCGAACCAAAAAAAATGAAAAATAAATTAATAATTTAAATTTAATAAGGATAAATATTTAGGATTTATTTATTATTAGCAGTTTATCAAAAATTATCAATATGACCTATTATAACAATAATTAGAACTTAGAAACTAATTAGAACGAAATTAAAGTTAAATCTACCTCTTTGTAAAAGGAATAAAATTTAAGATTATTTTATCCACTCTTCTCTTTATTTAAAATAAATGTAAAAAGGATAAATTTAAAAGTATTTTTTCTTCAATCATATACCTACGTATAGCTAGAATTACCACAATACTTAATTTTAATTTATTTTACCAAATAAAATTGTCAGTTGTCAAATCGTCAAAAATTGGCAGAACAACTTTAGCACTTGGCATTACCTAAGGCCACAAAAAAGCAGAGGCGCAAAGCACAAGTCCTTAGGATTGTTTCCTGACTTAATAATAAAGAATTCATAATTCGAGTTTGTCGGATACTTGTGAGATATTTCATAAATACTTAGATATTTTAGCTATATTTTACATTGTTTTTATTTTTCTCTTAAATTGTTATATAGATATAAATAATTAAATTAATTAAATTGGTAATAATATTTATTAATCATTACTAAATTTAAATTTTTAATTCTTTATTTTAATATAAATTTTAATTTTTTATACTAATTTTATATATGATATTATAAGCATATGGTATATTATAATTTATAAAATTTGCTGTATTTCTATTTCCGTGACCGTGTGTCCTAAACCTCCGCGCAATGCATAGGAGTTTGGTATGAATATTTAGTACGGAAGGATGGAAAAGTGGGATAAAAAATATTTAATTATTATGTTTGGTATGATTATTATAAAAAAAAAATTAGCAAATATTTTCAGCAAATATTTATCTTTTCAATTACACAAAGACAAATAATTATTTCACCAATCATTTGGTGTTTTTTTTTTTTTTGTCTAAGGTCTTAGATTCTAATTATAATATATTGAGTCAAATATTTTATCATCAATATTTTATCTCATCAGTAAAATAAACCCAACTTTTCAGTTAAAATTTTGGTCAACCAAACACTTTTTCATAACTTACCCGGAATAAAAAAAATCTTACTAAATCCTCAATCATCTTTTTTTTCAAATAAAAAAAAATATTTTTCGTACCAAACAATACCGTATTCAAAATTTGGTGCAAAAGAAAGGGGACCGTTAAAGGAGAAAGGTATTATTCACTAAGAGATTTCGATTCGTTCGGCGTTTTCAATACGGAAATGGAATTGGCATCTTATAAGATCTGTAGGTTCGTTGAAGTTGGGTTACATTGGACAAGATTTTAAGTATTAAGTAAAGACTCAACACTCATGAAATTCACGTGTTAGAACTTAGAACACAGTTTTCCTCTTTCAACATCAGTAGAAGCTGTCTAGTAGTGAGGGCTTAGATAACTTATCTGAGGTTATAGATTTAAGTTTTAATATCATCATTATATAAAATAAAATAAATCTTAATTAAAAAGTGTTATGATTTTTTATTTTATTATTATTATTTTCTGAATTGTTAAGTTGTTTAAGTACTGGGTTGTTATTTGAATTTTAACTTTTCTAAAGAATAGGTCATAGCTATTAGTGGAGCGTAGTGGGTAGTTATCTTTAAAGTTGTCTTGTATTATCTATTTAAATCTTTAAGTTTTTGAATAAAAGTATCAGATGAGATTAGAAAAGTTATCCCAAAAAGCACTTGTGCAAGAGGTCAGGCTTCTTCAGTAAAGCCATTTGAAGTCAGGCTTCTTCAGTAAAATCAAATTTTCATTTTTATTTATTGGGTTCGCATCAAAAAAATTCCATTTAACCCCAAAATTTAAAAGTTGATAAGTAATATATATATTAATGGACTTAAGCTTTTTTTTTATATAAATCATATATATTCTCCCCAAAAAACAATGCTCTAACCAGAAACATTTATATCATGATGGGGGAAATTTTGACATTCACAAAGACTTGAATTGAATACCTTACTTAAACAAGATAAAGTATGTATCACTTGAACTAATTCTTTATATCAAAAAATTTATATTAGACTTCTCTAATACTAAAATAACCAAAAAATTGTTATCAAAAAAAAAAAAAATAACCAAAAAATTAACGGCGACGAAGCATGACTCGTCGAGCATCATCTTCAGCTGAATATCTGTTGATGGGTTCTTCGAGACACAAAACTGATCCTGGGAAGAATTGTAATTAGGCATCAGTTTTTAAATGGAGGTTATTAATGCACATACGACAATTAAATGCGAGTATCCGAACAAAACCATCATTAGGGGTGTAAATGGGCCAGGCTGGTCCAGCCCAGCCTACGGCCCGGCCTACATAGAGCTCAGCCTAGGCCCGGCCTTTCAGAAAAGTAGAGTAGGCTTAGGCTTATAAAAAAGTTTTTTTAATAAATAAGCCATAGGCCAATTTTGTCAAGCCCAGCCTACAGCCTTGTAGGCTGGCCTATTTAATTTATTAAAATAAAATAATAAAATAATATTTATTTTATGTGACAAAGATACAAAGTACCAAATATCAATATCTCTTACTTTTTGTGCTATTTTATTTTATGAAAGGAAAACTTGTCTAATGTCTCCAAATTTTACATGTTGTTGCAGCTTAATACCATGGAGCAATGGGTACCTTGCTGGATTATGATGTTACTGATGAAGAACTTTCAATAATACTCTTTTTTCCCTTGTCTTGATGGTGGTTTAAATATTTTTAGAAGAATGACATTCTCTTGTAGACTTTATTTCAACATCCAATAATTGTATTTTTCTTATTTTTCCCATTTCTTTGACTCTATTCCTCTATGAATACATTCTAGAGCTGAGGTATTATGTTGACTCTTTCTTGTTTGTCATTTTTTCTTATGAGAAGTACTAGTGCATGCATGAATGGAACTATCTTTGCTATATACAATTATTTTTTTTGCTTAGTATATATAGTGGGAGGCCTACAAGGCCTGTAGGCCATGTCAGGCTTTCTTATTTTCGAAAATGGGCCGGGTTTGGCCTACAAATAAAGCCTTTAATAGGCCAGTAGGCCAGATAGACCAAAATATTTTTGACGTAGACTTGGGCCAGGATGGCCAAAGCCCAGCCCAGCCCATTTACACCCCTAACCATCATTATTTCGGATTATTCACATTATTATATCAGTATTTTATTTGTTCAAAACTTAAATATATAAGTGAAAGTGATATAATATAAATATCAACAATATCTATCCTTTTCGGGACAAAACTGCAACGCATGCTAGATGCTACTGCAGTGCCATACAAATGTATGTCGGGGACTCCTCAAGTCAAGAGGACTTAGCTGAACAAAACCACAACCACTCACACAAACAAGCACAACACAAAATATCACAGGTCAATTGATAAGTGTTGGAATATATATATATATATATATATATATATATATATATATATATATATATATATATATATATATATAGGGAATAACATCTATTCTTTTAAAGGATATAAATTTATATCTTTTTAGATCCTAACCGATGATTTCCGTCCATCAACGGTTATAATTTATTGGATTAAAATTATTAATTAATTAATAATAAATTTGGCCCATTAAGTTTGGCCCAATAGATTATAACTGTTGATGGACGGAAATCAACGGTTAGGATCTAAAAGGATATAAACTTATATCCTTTAAAAGGATAGATATTTTTCTCATATATATACAAATTGTGTAGACAATCTATTGGTTATAAATAAGAAGTTTGGTAATGAAAATATGTGTCTTTTCATCGACAAACAGATGTATCTTTTCATCCTCAAGGATGTGTTGTTTCATCCTAACAGACGTGTTGTTTCATCTTTGAATGAGTGTCTTTTCGTGGTGAACGAATATGTCTTTTCGTGTCCAACGGATGTGTTGTTTCGCTGTCGAATAGGTGCCTTTTGAAACGTGACCTTACGTTTTCTATATATAGACCCTGACCCCTTCAGAAAATATAATCCAGTTTTCTGCACTGTTACTCTGCCGGGTTTTTTCCTTCATCCGGTTTTGCATACTTCCTTCTATTTTTTCCGGTGTAATTCCTCTAGCATATTGTTGTGTTCATTTGGACTGTTGACTGGCAGTACCGTCACTCTTCAGACGAAATCTGTTCTATCCTGGGAGACAAGTGTTCATCAACCTTAGGCATCTGTGATGGGACAAATTGTCTTAAGGAGACACGTTATGTGGGCTCGGATTTAATTTCTAATTCTGCATTCATTCTTCTTCTGTCTGTTCTATACTACTGATAACAAGTAAGTCTGTTCTAATTTTTTATTATTGCACAGTCATATTTTTGATCATTAATCTCTTCTGGTTCTATACATAAGTTCAAACCTCTTATTGATTTAATATCACTCACTGTCTACAATAACAATAAGTTCACAACTAAGTCATACACGTTGTATGACAGTAGATTTACAAGATAATTTTTTTTTTTCATACGACATTAGATTAAATAATAAAAATTATATGTATATAAAATAAGATATGTATAAATATACATGTAACACTAATTAAGACCTATCTTTAGATTAAAATCACCAACGAAACAGAGAAGGGGAACGGGGATAAAAAAAGAAACATAAGAGGCTTGAACACACTTATTATTATTAGTAACTCCTCTAATTAAGGTATCTTAGGGGAGGGGTGGGTTCTAACATCTCTTCGGATTAAAGAAAAACTAGTGTTATTAGCATTTGAAAAAGAAAATTTAAGGCATCACAATCCTCGTAAAATTTAAAGCATGGAAATTTTTCATCAGTAATTTCACCTGTGAGCTACAAAATTTTGAGCCGGTTTTTTGTTCTGTTTTTTTTTTTTGGTCAGATCTCATGCATCCATACAAAGTTTTAAAACTAAGAGGCCTTTTCCGTTTTGGGTTTGGGGCGATCCTAGCCCAAAAATATTGTTAAAAAATTGTTATTGTAGTAAAATTATACTGAACTCAATGTATATATTCTGTTGTCATATGAACAGATAAAAATAAAATTTACCGCCGATTATGCATGGTAGTAGTATTGAAAACTCAATGTTAAGGTAGCACTAAAAAATAAAAATGAGCTTCAATTGATTTTGTTCACATCAATTGATTTTATTCTCTGGTATGAGACGAGGACCAAGAGCCTGTGCATCTAAATGGTCAAGAGGTACCCAAAAAATATGTTTTTAAATACTTGGGCTCCATTTTACAAAACGGTGGAGAGATTGATGAGGATATAAATCACAGAATCAGAGCAGGGTGGATGATGAAATGGCGCAGTGCATCTGCATTTTTGTGTGACCGCAAAATCCCCCTGAAGTTAAAAGGAAAATTCTATAAAACGGCAGTAAGACCGGCAATGCTATATGGAGCGGAATGTTGGCCAGCACATAGGCAACATGAGCATAAGATGGGAGTAGCAGAGATGAGGATGTTAAGGTGGATGTGTGGTTACACAAGGATGGATAAGATAAGAAATGAAGATATTCGATGAAAGGTCGGAGTAGTACCGGTAGCCGAGAAGATGAGAGAACATAGATTGAGGTGGTTTACGCACGTGATGAGAAGACCCATGGATGCTCCTGTAAGAAAAGAAGTTTGTTACCAAGAGCTAAACACAAAAAGAGGCAGAGGTAGGCCGAAGCTTACTTGGGGGAAGGTAGTAAAACAAGATTTAATGGAGTGGGATATAGATTGGCGGACAGTATGTCTTAGAACGGAATGGAGAAAAGCTATAAGTATGGTGGAGGGCTAGACCCGTTGTTATCCCTATGTTCCAGATGGTCCTTTTTTAGTCATTTTCCCCTTCATTTCCCCCACTTCTTCTTGTCTCTTTCTTTTTTACTTTTATTTATTTATATATACATATATTTTTATTTTATTTTATTTTATTTTATTTTATCTTATTTTATTCTTTTATTCTATTTGTTTATTTTTATTTATTTATTTTTTGCTTTTTTACTTTTTTTCAACCGTTTTGTATCTTTCATGTGGGTTCATCTACCACCGACCCCAATTAATTTGGGATAAAGGTGTTGTTGATGTTGATGTTGAACACTAACCCTGTTTCCCGAATATTGTAACCCTAAACTTTCTCATTTATTAAATGAATTGACATAATATGACACAATACAAATAATATAAAAAAAAAAAATTTTTTTTGACCCCTTTACCCCTTTTAAAAATAAAATTATTAGTATGCCCTTGTTTTTATATTATTTAAAAAATTTAAATTTTTACTAAAACTTAACATCAATCTGTCCTTGTTTGACCATTGACTAGTTAATATAATCGATTATATGAATGATATAATTAATTACATGGTTCAAATTTACCTTAAAATTTCGGAAGACTATGACTTTTGACTCGAGGGTCCAAATTCAGTATTTTTTTATTTCACGTAACTTTTTGAGATTTACATGCTGCAACAATTATATTTTAGTATTGAAAATTGAAAATAAGAATAGGAATTAAATGTCTTTATCCACAAAAATAAAATATGCCAAACAAGGCATAAGGAAGCATTTTTTGGAGAGAGAAATTTTGACCAAGTCCCCTTGGGTACTTGCCAGCGCATTCGTCTCAAAAAATTGCGTGGAATAAAAAAATATCTAATTTGGACACACGAGTTCAAAATTATGACCTTTCAAAGTTTTATGATAAAATATCCTAAATTTAGTGCCACATTAGGTTTTGTGATATTACAAAACCCTTTCTCAAGTCCAATATCAAAAGTATATGACCATAGAAACTCGTTTGATCCAAAAAAATCTCGTGAAAAAAAAATTATATGGCTTCGTTCAGTGATGTAATGGATTACCGTATACTGGTGTAATCGATTACATGAGTTAATGTGATGTAATCCATTACATGGATGTTGTAATCGATTACATAATCCAATCAACGGTCAAACATAAGCATATTGGTGTATAGTTTTTAGAAGGGGGCAAAATAGTAATTTTAAAAGTAATAAAGGGCAAAGGGGTAAAAAAACATGAAAAAAAGATTAATACGAATTAGTATCGTATTTAAATGTTAACATATAACATGATATAATTTTTTTCGTGTCAATTTTATCAAATACAAACATTCTTCGAGTTTGAAAATAGATTAATCTGAATATAATTTTTTTGTATCATTCATACCTATGATGCACCGACACTTCAAAAAATTTGACATGTCGTGTCCGATACTTTCTGACACTCCGACACTTCCTGACACTCCAACACACATTGCAAAGACTAAAAAAAGGGTTCGAAGGTTGCATTGCATTACGTTTTTAGTTTCAACTATTAGATTCATTAGATTATGATTACTATTTTATTGAGTTTAATATAAATATTTGAGATATCTTATGTTTCTTTGCAAAATTGTTAGATATTATAAGGTTAGCTTTATTTTTTGATTAAATTATAGAATATTAAATATAATATACACTACATAAATTAAAAATATTATTTAATATCAAAACGTGACTTAACATGTCAAAATCTAATATTTTTTAAATTAACGTGTTGGAATGTTTGTTCTATCGTATCCCGCATTAATATCGGTGTAACATAAATTTGTACCATCTCAGCGTATGGCGTTGAAAATTATATGCATGCCATTATTGAGAAAATACTGACGCGTTACCTAAACCGGTACTTAATTCCTATGTTGCACGGACACTGACAAGGGACACGGGACACGACACGCCGACACGTTAATTCTAAAAATTGGCATATTTTGACACGTTGGGACACGTTTTAATTTTAAATAATATTTTTAATATATATATATAATATAATTTATATTTAATAGTTATAACAATCCATAATAAGTCATATAACCAATTAAATATTCAAATTTTATAACATAAATATAAACAAAAATAATTTTTCGTACCTTGTTAATTTTTCATGTCAAATTTCATAATAAAAAAAATTAATTTATAAATAATTTTTTATTTTTAATTAATAAAATAAAATTAAGACTAAAAAAAATGTGCCCGAGCGTTGACTACGTGTCCGAAAAAATTAATTACGTGTCGAAAAAATGTGTCGAAGAGTTGACAACGTGTCTCAAAATATTAACCACGTGTCATACGCGTGTCCGTGTCAGATACGTGTCCGACACGTTATTTATAAAAAAAAAAAAAAAAAGACGTGTTCGGGTTTGCTAGCTTAATTGTAAGCCAAAATGATCGTTTGTATAAAGTATATTTTTGGTATTTATCTCATGGCATTTACGTGTTCTGGCGTTTGACTCAATTTTTCACTAAAGATGATTAAAGATCACGATGATAGTTGTAAAGTGTAAAAGCTATTTTTCTCATGAAGCGCTTAAAGAGCAAAAAGGTCATACATATTTATCCTCCAAAAGGACTTTTTTATTTTTCACGTATATAAAGTTATACATATTGGTTAAAGTTGGAATAACGTCTGAATAAAAAGAATAACCTCAAATAGAATGCTGAAGTAATTGAATAATTAAGAAACATACGACCATGGAAATTGACAGCACGCAAAATGCTATGAACGGAGGCAAATTTCCTAAAATCATATAAGCAAGATTTGACTCTCAAACTCTAATTGCCCTGCTTCATATATTATATTAGTTTACCCGTAATTTTTTTGTCATTATTGTTCTGTTTCGTTCCCAATTGAATCATTCCTCGCAGTCGCAGGTATCTTCCACCGAAAACAGACAGACAGATCAATAACAAGTTAAATATTTTTTTTCTCTTTCAGCCGTCTAGTCCCGTTTTATTAACTGAAATCTAAAAGCGTACAAGAAGAAAATGTATAGAATGATTTTAAATTATCTTAACTAATTTTTTACATTATTAAACAAAAATATTAAATATATTTTAATGTTATAATAATTATTGAAAAGATATTTTAACATTTGACAACAGTGTCAAATTTGAAGTTTGAAACCCTCGTCTAAGAGTCATTATATATAAAAAAATAAGGTGTTTAACTTTAAATTTGACACTGGTGTCAAATGATTGTATCTCTTGTCACAAAATAGTGAAACTCACAGTAAATGTAATCGTTCCTTTCAATGTACCATTCAACACCACCCAAAATTAATGAAGAATCAAATCACAAGATAATCCAATCAAATATTGAAATGAAATTACCAGAATGTAGAAATCAGTCTCTCTCATTCTCATACAAGTTAAAATGCGTTGATCCTGAAGTATGGATTTACAAAACACCACTTGTCTTACCAACAGCGTAGCTTCTACTTCTTGGATACGAATTTGGAACAACAGGAACATCAACATCAACCAAATCATAAGGCGTATCCTCATCGATCCGACCCATGCCAACACTAACGGACTTGGGCAACCCATTTGAGGAAACGGGTTGTGCTGACGTGGACTGCTGTTTCAGAACCAAATCCACATCGATTCTATTGACCAAAGTCCTAGCCGAAGCTGCTCTCAGAAGCTCTGCAAAATCCTCGTTATCACCACCGCCACCGGACCTCGATGTGGCGGCGCTATAGCTTCTGGGCAAAGCCTCGAATCGACCAGCAGCATCAACGGGGTTGCTATAGTTCATGTTGTGACCGCACTTTGTTATGTTTCGAACGTACATGTCTCTTGCTCTCCCTAAAACTCTGATGGGTAATGTTATGATCCTCACGAACTTGTTCTGGCTTTGCTCCTTGCTCTTCCTCATCTTTGTCTTGTGTGTTCCTTCAACTATGAAATTTTTGCTAAAAAAAATTAACAAAAATTTGTAATTGAAATAAAATCAGAATTAGGAGACAAATCAAATGGGTATGAGATGGGATTGATTTTTGTAGTGGAGTCAGGAGTGGACTGTCAATGAAGGTGGGTATGAATTTGTTTAATACCCACACGGACTTTTTCATAGCACACCAGATCAGGAAACATGAAGATAAGAACAAACTTATATTATTACTATTATTATCATTATCATTATTTTCGTATATGGTTTTGATTAATGATGTTGATCATTTTTTATTTTTATATCTTTCAGAAAAGTAAAAGGTGGCTTTGATTAGAATGACGCGTGCTATTTCAATATCATTTTTTTGACTTTACAGTTAAAAACAAAATAGAAAACATAATTTAATTTCTTCCAGTCCAGCCTTGCTTTGAACCTTTCCTTGGATTTTTTCTGTTAAGGGCTAAGGGGGAATGCACAACACGTTTTCGTATTTATAAGTAGTGAAATATTAACGTTACGTTAGATGCGGGTAGTTCTCTTATGTCATAGAGAGAGTTTGAGTGGAGCTCATTATTAAAAAGCAAAAAAAAGAAAAGAAAAGAAAAAAGGTGCGATTTTTTAAGTAAGAAAAAATGAGATAGTTGATATCAAAAAAAAAAAAAAATGAGATAGTTATTTCATGTAAAATGAGAATAATATTTCCTTTATAAGTTAATTGAGGGATTAATGTTTATCCTTTAAAATAATGGAACAGTGACCAAAGTGTCATGTTTGGACAAAAAATTTACCAGACTGTCACGCCAACAGTAAATTTTGTCAAAATGCCACACAGCATAATTCGCTACACAGTGTAGCGAATTATGAATGCAAGTAATTCGCTACACAGAGTAGCGAAATATGCCACGTCAAAACGCACAGAACCAAAAATGGCACATGTCAAATTTTGCAAAATTCGCTACATAGGTAGCGAATTTTGCAAAATTTGACATGTGGTATTTTTGGTTCTGACGTGGCATATTTCGCTACACTATGTAGCGAATTACACTTGCATACATAATTCGCTACACTGTGTAGCGAATTATGCCGCATGGCATTTTGACAAAATTTACTGTTGGCGTGACAGTCTGATAATTTTTTTGTTCAAACGTGGCGAAATGGTCACTCTCCTTAAAATAATACAAAATTGTGTTATTTTTGCAAAAAATATTTGTGTTTTATTGTTAGAGGAACAAAAATTATGGGAGAGAAGGTTAGAAAAAAAAATTAATTTAAATATATAATAAAAAATATTTATTTTAATTAAAATAACTATCCTTTAAAATGATAAATATTTTTCTAATTAATCAATATTGTTTTTCTATTTTATGTTAAACCATTTATTAGGTGTACAAAAGAAGGAAAAATAAAATACCCCGTTAAAAATAAACAACTGAACAGGTTAAAACGACATTGCTGTCTACCAAAAAAAAAAAAAAAAAAAATTAATACGACATTGCTACGGAAGGCTGACAGTACAAAACTTGAGCATCGATCCTCCGCCACGAAATCTAGTCACAAAACACGGGAATTGGTACCCAAATTGGAGTGACATCACAAGATTTAAATAAATATTTTAAATCTATGAATTGTCTTAATATTATTCAAAGGGATATATGTTTATATTCAAAATGCAAAGTAATCTTTGCCTTTCTCAAATAACAGCGTTAATATTCTTTTCTGAACCATTAATTTGTCGGCACTCCTTTAATAAGGGCGGTTCAATTGGAAAACACTTGTAGTAAGTTTGGCAACAAACTTAGAATAATCAGCACGCCTCTGAGAATGAAAATTAAACTGGAGGCTTGACTCTTCAAGAATAAATAAAAGAGTCTTCCCACGTTGGCAACTAATAAAGATATAATTGTGTTAAGTGTATGTCACCACTTTCCAACTAACAACTAAGGGTTTTGTATCTATAATTTAACATGACCACAACAACTTTCCTACACACACAACATTTTGTGGGACCCACAATTTTTGAAACCAAAAAAAAAAAAAAAAAAAAACTCTGGCACGCAAAACGAATCTCTATAACATAACACAATCACTTTTCCTACAACATAACTCTTATTAAACCCAACAACTAAAATCAACAACTAGAATTTGCCAATAATTGCAGCTGTCCTCGATCAGCAAGTGTTCAAATTTCAATGCACCCAAATTATTTCTTCCTCTAGACTAATTATTAATAAAATGAATTCAGAATACATTTATACAAGGAAGCATTTGACACAACATAACTCAGCACATAAAAATTATCTTATTCTGAAACATGAAAATTTACCAAAAATAATTATTATTATGATCCTCAAATTAAGAAATTAGAAACTCTAGTCAGTAAAATTACATATGAAATACCAAAATAAGACGTCATTTATGCAGTCAGAGACTGGGACCATTGTAGAAAAACAATTCCTTATTTGGCTTTAAGAATCAATAGTTGATTAAAAATTAAACAATTTATGTCAGTTAATTTGCCTACGGGTAACATTCCAAATTTCTTATTCCCTCTAAAGTTGATAAAATTCTGTAAATAAAGTCATTATTTTTAATGAAATCAGAGGAGGTTGACCAATTTTTTGCTAAACAAAAAACACACATACACCTTAATATCGTTATACTTAAACTCAAACTTAACAAGCACAAAACTTAATAAATAAATAAAACATATTTTACTCAAGCCATTACTCCATTATGATGAACTGGTCTGGGGCAGAATGCTTAAAAGAACGACTACTATAGCGATGTATTTTAATAAGAATAAGAGACTGTAACAACTACACGTTGGAGTAGAAATACATCATAAAAAAGGGAAAAGTCAACAGATTGAAAAGAAATTAGGCATATTAAAAATGTGAAACGCTTGAAAAAAAATAGGGGACACCAGCTGCACAAGAACCTCTTCAACTCACCTAAGTTATGCAAACTAATTATATGTTTGAAGAGCATATAAATCATTCATTCATTAAAAAAGTTAAGTTACATTCTCACAGTCGTGCTTTCGATCATATGGTACCACCTTTGTTAGTTTTTTAAGGGTAATTGAATTGATCTTTGCACATGTTATATCACTTAAAATATTCCTACCACTTGAACGCAAAATAGATCACGAACAGCGTAGCCTGAATATATGTGAATTTTCTATCTAAGAAAAAAAAATGAAGAAAAGGTCCAAGTGTGGCTGGACAAGTATGCAAAGTGCGTCATTCCTAAGTTTTTTTTTAACAAATCGTCTTCCTGATAAATAGCAACAGTATATTTTAATGAATAGATTATCCCATGTAAGAATTATTATTTTGTGTGGTAGAATGTATCTTCATATCACATAATTTTTTTGAAAAATAATCACAGTCTATATAATCAAGTTAACGATGAAAGAGAAAAATATTATGATCAAAAATGAAAAATGAATATTTATTGATTTTTCTGCGCATGATGTCATACATCTCACTCACTTGATATCATGTGATACCAAATAAAATATTCCCATCTTTATCCCGGATTAACAAAGAGTCATGTTTCTTTAGAGGAAAATTGAATAAAAATTAGAAGAAAGCGTTATGCTTTTTTAGTTTATGATGATATCTATATTTTTAAAAGAATTAGAAGTGCCTATTTTTAATATTATTATTGTAGATAAAATAAAAATATATTTTCAATTAGATATAAAAATTATAAATATTATTCGAACATTGTTATTATTAAAACTTATAATATTAAAATTTAAATTTAAAAAGAATAAACAAATCAAGACAGATATAAAGGAGAAAAGTCAAATAGTCAAAAAAAGGGAAATAAAATTTATAATTGATGTTGTCTTTTGGTCTCTCTTAAAAGTTTGACAATTGAACTTTTCATGACTCGGATTCCCATAGTAGAAGTAGAGGTGTTTGGATTTTGGTCTTGACCGATCTCGAGATTTGTCTCATCCTCAAAACTCAAACATTTTCTCGATGCTCAATAACTTGGGCCCTCGATTGACTGGTCACTCGTTTTCTTCTTCTAGATTCTTCATTCAAGAGACTACTTAATAATTTGGGCTTTGGATTGATTGGTCACTCCTAGTTTCCTTCTTCTAGATCCTTCATTCAAGAGACTGGCAGCAACTAAGTTCATGGTCAGTTTTCCCTCGGGGCCCGAGTTGCTAGGTGTTACAACAAGAGTATCTCACCTCTCTAACAACGAGTTGAGGAGTAGAATAATTTGGAGTTCATCATCAATTTTTATATCTATTTTTCTCAGTTGGTTTGTAATCCCCTTGCAGGTATTCAGGTGCTCTATCATGCTCTAGTCATCCTTATACTCCAAGTTCACAAGTTGTCGCACCAGGTGTGTCTTATCCTAAGGTATTTTCATTTGAATCGTAGATTCAAGTTTAGTCCATAGTTCATGAGCATTTGTGAAGTAGATATATGCTCAAATAAGCTTCTATCAAAGTATTTCCAAATCATGGCTATCGTCTTTCTTTTAAGGAGTTCACACTTCTTTTCATTTTTGCCTGCCTGCTAGCATCTCGACACTCAGGATGAGTTCATATAAATCCTTGCAATAAAGGTGATCCTCCATCATGAGCTTCCAATATGAATAGTTTTTCACTGTGAGTTTGAACATGTCACCATTATGTGTACCGCTACCCTCCATTTTTTTTCCACATAATCCTTGATCTTAGAGTTTTTATATCCCTAAAGGGACGAAATTCATATAACTAGTGCGAAATCAAACAAGTCGTCAAGCTGAGTTCGGCAACTCAGAACTTAGAAGTTGGTCAATTATTAAGTTGATTAATTTTCATAAAAAGGAGAAGGAGAAAAAGAAGAAAGAAATTCACACAACGATTTTAACATATAAAACTCCCTTAATGCTAGGAGTAAAAATCACGAGATATAGTTTAGAAATGCATCCATTATAAAGAATGACTACAAGAGATTCATCATTAGTATATCATTATACAAATTTCTTTGTTCATACTGAGGATAGAATTTAAACTTTTCTCTCACGAGTAATGATCTCTCTTCTTAAAAAAGTAAATTCACACTCTCACTAGTATTCTACCTATAGAATTTTGATTACTCCTCGTATTTATAAATGGCCAGGGGATATCTTTTTCATATTCTAGAATCTTTTTCATTTAATGTGGAGGATTTCAATGAAACATTTCATTCTCCATTAAGTCTTTTCATTCTTCCATGCACTAGATTATTATTTAATTATTAAAAGGGTATTTCCTAGGCATGGAATCTTGCACTTCTTAGTGATGGAAAGTGTAGCCACCCAAGTAATTAAGGTGGAACAACTTCCAATAGTTATAAAGGAGAAAAGAAAATAAAAATAAAAATATAAGTAGAAAAATAAAATTTATAAAAAATATAATATGATAATTTAAGTAAAAAATATTTTTTGGTAAACAAGTAGAAGAACTTTAATATATGCTATGAAAGAATATAGACAAATAACAAGAAGTAAATCCAAATAATGGGTTTTTATATAGGGTTCGATTTTTCTGCGGCCGCTTTATAGCAGCAACAAATTTTTAATATATATAAGTTAAAGCATTTAATGTGGAAAATTATAACCATATAAAATGTGAAAACATTAAATGTGAGAAATTATAACCATACATCTGTCCTTGCTGAACGTACAACAACTTTAGATATGAATTTGCCTTTTATATAGTGTTAAAAACTCAGTTGGTGGAGTCTATGATAGGATACATAGGGAGAGTAACCGAGTTTAACCTTATAATTGCTTTCATAATAATTTTCATTCGCTGTCTCTCATCCCTTATCCCTGCTTCATTAAGGGCCACACAGGTCGTTAAAATTCATAGGCTTAAAAAGTTATGCTTTTTAGGAATAGTAGTTTTTTTTAGAGATATTTCAATTAAAGATATATATAAAATCATTAATGTAACTTCATCGAATAGCTTAACCTTTTGGGTTAAAATGGTTCTTTACATGGTATCAGAGTCTTGGTGTTCCGGGTTCGATCCTTGTCGCCCCCTATTTTCTTTGTTGAATTTCTTAATACAGGTAGGCTAGGCCTGATGCAGATTCCATCTTTCAAGCCCAATGGGCTCTCTTGTGAGGGAATGTGTTAAAGTATAATATAAATCATTAAAAAGACACTCACTCTCACCCAACAGCTTAAATTTTTGGATTGAATTGGTTCATTACATTATATTAGAGCCTCGTGTGGAATTTCTTAGCACAAATATGTGGGTTTGTACATTGTCCACCTTTTAAGCTTGTGGGCTCTCGTGTGAGGAAACATGTTAAGGAATAATATAAACAATTAAAAAGTTCATCACCTAACAGCTTAATTAAACAATTAAGCTTTTGAGTTGAATTGGTTTTTTACGATTCCAATCAATTCGTCGTTTCGCGACTTGTTCAATTCGAGGCGGATATCGGAGTTAAGACTTTAAATTTCTCTCAAAAATAATATTAAAAGAATCAAACATATACTCTCATTCATACCTATTGAGTTTTCAATCGCCAGCTTAGCCGAGAATAATAGCTCTTTTTGTCACGAAAAGCTTCGGACGGAGACAAGCCATGCCAGAGCCCAGTCTCAAAACAAGAAGTTAGGCCCAAGCTTATAGCTTGATTTTGTTAGTTTCAGAATGCATGTCATCCTTTCACCAAAAAAGAGAAGAAAAAAAATGAATTGCTAAATAAGGGACAACGTGGCTTTTATATATTTTTTTAAATGAAAAAATTCCCACCGCACAACAACACATTACACGTACCTAACTTTTTATCATCTATATCATACTAATAATGCCAAGCTTCAGACAAACCCGTCCATCCATTTATCCACAGTCAACAACTAATTGCTCACTGAAAACAAAAGCCCAGGAGCTCAAAGGGATAGGTATATCTATTATCTGTGTAGGGGATATTGTGATGAAGGAACAGGGTCTCAAGATTGGCGTTGCCACAATAATCACAATGCTTGTAACGCTGTCATTGATGTGCACATGTGAAGCAAGCACAAGCAGCAACATCCATCCGTTGATTCTAATACCTGGTAACGGAGGGAACCAACTAGAAGCCAGGCTGACACCTCAGTACAAGCCCTCCAGCTTCATCTGCGACACATGGAACCCTCTTGTCAAGAAAAAGAAGGGATGGTTCAGGTTGTGGTTTGATTCCAGTGTCTTACTTGCTCCTTTCACTCAATGTTTTGCTGAGCGCATGACGCTTCACTACCACCAAGAACTCGATGATTACTACAACACCCCCGGGGTTCAGACCCGGGTCCCTCACTTTGGTTCCACTCATTCCCTTCTTTATCTCAATCCTCATCTAAAGTAAGTTCATCCCTACCCTTTATTTGTTTGTTGCACTTTGTTGTTGGGATTTTTTCCCCTCACTTCTACATTTATTTTTACAATATGATTTATCATCAATTAATAAACGATACCCTTATATGTGTAGGCATGTCACGGAATACATGGCATCCCTAGTAGATTCATTAGAACAGATAGGTTATATTGAGGGTGAGACTCTGTTTGGAGCTCCCTATGATTTTCGATATGGTCTAGCTGCTCAAGATCACCCATCTCGAGTGGGGTCCAAGTTCCTGAAAGACCTAAAAAATTTGATAGAAGAAGCAAGCACTTCCAATGGAGGGAAGCCAGTAATACTTCTCTCACATAGCTTAGGAGGTCTATTTGTCCTCCAACTCCTTAATCGAAACCCTTCCTCTTGGCGCAAGAAATTCATCAAACACTTTGTAGCACTTTCTGCTCCATGGGGTGGTGCCATAGACGAAATGCTCACCTTTGCATCTGGCAATACTCTTGGAGTGCCCCTAGTGGACCCTTTGATAGTGAGAGGTGAGCAGAGAAGCTCTGAGAGCAACCTATGGCTTTTGCCCAATCCCAAGATATTTGGTCTTCAAAAACCATTGGTGATCACTCCAAATAGAGGCTACTCAGCGATGGACATGGTTGATTTTCTCAAAGACATTGATTTTCCTGAAGGGGTTTATCCTTATGAAACTCGGATTCTACCCTTGATAGAGAATATAGATGCACCAGAAGTGCCTATAACTTGTATTATAGGGACGGGCGTGAGAACCTCAGAGAAATTGTTTTATAGGAATGGTGATTTTAATAAACGACCCGAAGTTTCATATGGGGATGGTGATGGAACGGTTAGTAGGGTGAGCTTGTTGGCTCTTCAGTCACTCTGGAAATATGAGACAAATCAAAGCCTGAAAGTGATCGAGATTGATGGTGTGTCTCATATTTCAATACTAAAGGATGAAGTTGCACTTGATGAAATAAGAGGAGAGATTAGTAGAATTAATTCTCATGTTCAGCTTGGTTTAAGCAAATTTTTTTGGGATAAATGATGGGGAGTGATCATGGACATGGATCCAATAACAGAAAGCTACTTGATGGATAGTTATATGTCCAAAATTCCAGTGCCCCTGCAAATTATATTTTGTATGGAATTTACATTGGATTTGGTTCATGTTGATTATTAAGATGAGAATGTAATGTATTGATACGAGAGTAAAAGATGCAAATTATAGTAAGATTTATTATTATTATTTGTGAACTGCTTATTAATAATGTTTTTATTTCTTTAATGCCTTTTGAACAAGACTTAATTACAATTGTAAATTTTAAAACAAATTAATTCAACCATTCTCATTAATTGTAACCATCTCTGCAGTGGTGTGCTGTTCAAAACTTTGTAGTTTTTCTCAACAAAAACGAACTGTATAGGCTCCAAAGTAGCCGGGCCGAAACTAATGAAAACTGAACCAGCTGAATCAATTTGGTCCAGTTCAGTACGAGCAACTAAGTTGGTTCTTTGGGAGCCAGGGGTTATTTTGGACAAGATAGAGAAGTATGTTAACTTTTATTTATGTAGGTAATATTAATTAATTAATTTTGTGTTTAAAATTAATCGGATTAATAGATATTTCAATTGTATTATTTTGACTATCTCATTGTGATCATATTGAGCGGGCTAATGGCATATGTTGGTATCCTAGTTGGGTAGCAGTGTAGGCTTTAATATGATCCTGATTTTTCATGATGGGTGGACACAAACTCTATTTTAGGGTATTTGGCTAGGTCTCTCTTCTAGCCTATTTATATTAGGGTTAAGTCTCATGAGTCCTCATGCTCTCATATGATGCTGTCATTTTTGGAATAAGTTATAGAAAAGAAGATTCTGACATGTAGTCTCTTCTTTCCTTCGACTTTGTGTCCACAAGGTACGCACAATTCCAACTTTAATTTTATATTGTTTAAGTATTTTATAATCATATACATGATTCATGAGTTATAAATCTTACATTTGGTTTGTGCATATGATTATAGAATTCATGTTGTTCATTGAAGTCAAAGAAATTGAGGATTTTTATTTTTTATAAAGGTCAAAACTTTTTGCATTAATTCATGAACTTGTTTAATTGAATTGAGAATCTTAGGGCTTTTGTTTTACATGTTAAGATCTTTCGATTGATACGTGAAATGTGTGTTTTTATAGAATATTAAGGGGCGTTTGGTTGGAGAGTTTTAGTTTTTTGCCCGGAGAAATTCATGTGGATTTCTTAGTTGACCACGTTTGGTTGAAGTTGGTTTTTAAATAATTTGCATGGGATTCAAATTTGCATAAGAATGTAATATTATGTGTAAAATTGGAAAAAGATCACCGAGTAGGTGGTATTCTCATCTTTTCCGGAAAACAAAAAAGTGGCTTTGACTTGTTAGGACACAATTAACCCTCCCTTTAACAAAAAGTGGCACAGTTGGTTTTTTTTTTTTTTTTTTTTTTTTTTTTTTTGTAAATGGCACAGTTGGTTTTAACAAATAGGACAGAGTTGTTTGTCTTTATTTTTTAAATTTTTTTCTAAATGTTGATTTTTTATTTTATTTTTTTTCTAAATGCCAAAGTGGCTATGGCTTGCCTGTACACTATTTAAAAATATTTAATATAGACTTTATAAATATAAGGGGAATTTTGGTAATTGTAACTCATTTTCCTATCAATATTTTAACTCAAACCAAGCATAGATTTTATAATATTTATCAAATTTTCTCGGTAAAATTTTTTACTATCAAACTTATTTTCCAACTATTTTCCTAGTATTCAAAAAAATTCTTCTCAACCAAACGCTCCCTAAAGTAGAATTTATATTCTCAAATTTCAAGGTTCGTAAAAAAAATTGAAACGACAGCAGAATAGAGTACACTATTGTGGTTGGTTTTGGTGAAAGAGGAATGATTCTCATATACTCGACATTTATGAATTGTTAAGTTTTGTTTTGTTTTGTTTTTTTTTTTTTCTTTGTCCTGTGTGGCATATAAATCATTTGAAATGCTGCACATTAAAGATCATTTGCTATCTTTTGTTTTTCATTTTCCGTGTTTTGTAGATGGCAGTTCAATTAGCTATGAATTTGTTAACTATCTTTTAGCTATCTACATGGGTTGAAAATACTCAGTCAAGATTAAAAAAAAAAACTGTTTATGAAAAACTGGATTTTTTTCCCCGGAAAGATATGAAATAGATTATTTATGTTGTTTTGAACCTAACAAATTTATTTACGTTCTACAAAAAATATTTACCTTTTTTATTTATTTACCAAGTAGATCCCAAAACGTAACTTTTCGATTTGTCAATTTTTTGAAGCCTTTTAAGCTTTATTATTATGCGATCAGGTCGTTCTTCAGTTTGATGTCATTGGATATGGTTAGATCGCCTCAAAACTATTTAGATCACATTGAAACTAGTTAGAACAATCCTTGGACTATGTTTATTTATAAGATAAAATATATGATATTTCAGTTTTGAGTTTAAGCATGTCCATGGTTTATGCGGGCTCTATGGGTAGTGCTTGATCAAGAATCTTCTATAGACCTTATCAACTAATGAGTTCAGTTCTATTAAATTTATTAAATGATTATATTTTGATTGAGATGGGCCGACCTGACCCAATTGTGGGCCCATGTCTTCTCTGGATTCATAGACGGTGGTCGATTACACCGTATGCAAGGCCTAACGACTAATCGATTATGTGACATGGAGATTAGTCAGTTTGTGTAGTGAGTTTAGCGAACAAAAAGCTAGACTACGGACACTAACCTTGGGCCTTCTCCTTAAAAAGGTAAAGATGCAACTGTTAGATGGGAAAACTCTTGAATCATGTCAGCAAAGTAAGGATGCTAAGTGAATTGATGATGTACGGGTTTACAGGTTTATTGTGTTATTACCACTAGGGGTGTAAATGGGTTGGACTAGGCTAGACTTTGGCTTAAATGGGCTAGGCCTATGTAAAAACTATTGGGTATGACATGTCCTATTAGCCTGTGTAGGCTCCAAATTACAAGTCTGGTTTGACTTATATTTAAAAAATAAAAGTCTTGGCCTCGATCTATTAGCATGTTTAAGTCCATTAAACATTCAACAATTAAAAGAATAACTAAAATAATATTATTTTATTATTCAAAATTATTAAAATAATTATTATATTTTAAATAAATTATATGATATAGGCCGGCCTGTAGGCTTATAGGCTCGTCATGTACAAAAAAACCTATTGCCTATTTTCTAAATAGTTTTTTTTAAAAGCCTAGGCCTTTTCTATTTTACTATTTAAAATAGGTCAAATCTAGCCTAATATAAGCTAAGCTGTAGGTCCCTGTAGGCCGGTCTAGCTCATTTACACCCCTAATTACGACAACCACCCACCACCCATGGTAGTTAAAACCAGGATTCTACCTAAAATCGGAAGGAAGATAAAAAATCGTAAATCGTAAAATCTTAACGTAAAAAAAATCGTAAAAGCGTTTGAAATTTTGATGAAATCGTTATGATTAAAAAAAATCGTAAAATTACAGATTTAAATCGAAATTTTAACTTGTCAGCAAGCGTGGGTAAATTTTACCGGCTGGCCTATTTGTTGCACTTAAATTCAAACCTCCTATCTATTATGTTGGATTTTTTTTATTTTTTTTACAAATATAATATAATTTCAAGAAACACATGTCGAAAAATTGTTTTGTGTTATTTGAGCATGCTTGATTGTTGTGCTATTATTTTTTAATGATTACTATATATTAATTACTCGTCCAAAGGAGATTTTAATATATAATAATTGAAAATCACATGAAGATAAAATTTTATTGATGGGAACATGTAATTGAAAATATTTATCCGGTCAAAGGGAATAAATTCTTAAAAATTACATGTGATGCTTTTATGTTGAAATTTTGAAGATATATAATTTATAAAATTTATTTGTCCAAAGGGAATAAATTTTAGACAACTATATATAATCCTCTTTGTTGTTTAAATCTTCGTGTGATGAAAAATAATTATATATTATATACTTTACCGAAAGGAGAGTTTATGATATTTAATTATTTTTGTTATCGCCCATGACTAATTTATTGTATTATGTATGTCAATTAGTTACCTTTTTTGTTAACAACAACTATGTTATTGTTGAGTTATTGACTATGTCAAATTATTAGAAATGAATATGTACAATTTATAGAATATTCTTGTTTATCAAGTTGTATGTCTTTGTTTGAATTATTTAAGTGCAATTTTTTTTTGAGAATGCTAACGTATTTTAATTTATGATGAGTGAGAATGTTACATCTTCTTGTGGACTGCATCATGATTTTGTGCAAGAGGTGCAAAAGTTTTTAGGAATTACTATGGATGATTACCACCAAAGTGGGATTGCTTGCATTAATTTATGAAAATTTCTTTGTAATTTGAGTAATGCTTCTAGTTATTTTATATAATTTCCTGTCTAAATGGGGTTATTGTGTGTTTTGAATCTTTTGATTGAAAGCTTGTTGGATATGAAGTGAGGTGCATTAATTTAGGTGATTTGTTTGCCCATAGGAGACAAATCTCTGAAGTCAATGTATGCTCACTGAACATCTTTTTTAAGGTTATAAATAAAATTTTTGGAGGCTCATTGGTCTAGAGATTTGTCTGTCGAAAGGGGATAGATTTTTAAACTCAATGTTGTGCTTATTGATTGATTCTTCTGAGGCTATGACCTTGGTTTAAACCTTGGTTTGTGCATTATGGTCAAAGAGGAATGCACTATTTTGTTAGCCTTATTGTGATAACCTATTGTGCTCATTGGGTAACTTATATGAGGTTCTAACCATGGTCACAACTTTGGTATGTGCATTTTCACCAAAGGGGAATGTATTGTGTTGGTCTCGTTGTAATAACTTGTTTTGATTAAAGTTGTATCTTGCCCTATAATTTATTTTGATGCATTCTTTTGCCTTAATTAGTGGGAGTTATACTCAAGACTTTTTTGAGTATTTTAGAGTCTTTTAATTCCCTTGATCAGTGGGAGTCATATCCAGTTTGCTTTTATAATCACTTTTTTATGCAAACTGGTGATGATTTTGTGACATTTGTTTGAATTTTCACAATTGATGATCATCGTTATTGTTATTTCTCCCATCGAATGATAAATATATGTATGAATAATATCTTTAAGCATGTTGTGAGCTTAAAGATGTCTGGATGTCACAAATTTTAAGATATCATATTGTATTGTGACATATTGATTTATCTAACCTCAGCAATTTTATGACGTTTGGAAATTGTGTTAATTCAACTTTATGTTATTAAGAAATTATATTGAAAAGGGCAATTTCATGTTTAGAAATTGCGGTAATGCAATTCCATGTTGTTGCGAAATTGCATTATGGAGTGTAATTTCATATTGCTTGGAAATTGCACAAATGTAATTTCATGTTGTTGAGAAATTACATCGAAGAACGATAAGAATTAATGTGTTATATTATTGATCATATCTTGGCACTAATTCTTACTATACTACTAGGCTCATGATTCGTGAAGATATAATACTTATTGTATATGAGTATGGAATGTCATATGCTATGATATTTTCGGTACATTGACCGTCGTGTTCCTATGATAGAGTTATGTTAGATTAAATTATATTGAGATGCTAAAATTGGAATATTATTTTTTCAAATCGTGGCCATGTAAAATGATTTTTAGTTATTAAGCACATGGAGTCGTTTTCAAAATAAAGGTACCTTCAAAATAATATCAAATTAATTAATATAGCCCAAGTGGAGAATGTTGGAAAATTTTATTTATGTGGGCAAAATTATTTAATTAGTTTTGTATTTTAAAATTACTCGAGTTAATGGATATTTCAATTGTATTATTTTGACTAGCTCATTGTGATCATATTGAGTTGGGCTTATGACATCTGTTGGTATTGGGCCTAGTTGGGTAACAGTGTAGGCTTTAGTGTGACCTTAGTTTTCCGTGATGGATGGACCCAGTGGACACAAACTATTTTCATGGTATCTGGCTAGGTCCCCTCTCTAGCTTGTTTATATTGGGGTTAACTCCCATAAGTTATCATGCTCACATATGAGGATGCCATTTTCGGAAGAGGTCATAAAGAGGAAGATCCTGACATGTAGTCTCTTCTTTCCTCTGCCTTTGTGATGGTCCAACAAAGTACACACAATCTCAACTTTGTTTTCATATTATTTAGGTATTTTATAATGGTTATTCTTATCTCATTTTGTGTAAGAGAAACAACTTTCATACACACACAAAATAGGGGTGAGTTCCACCTCTCTTTTTTTCTCTCCTCTTATCTGTGGATCCCACTTATAGTTTTGTTTCTACAACATAAGATAACCAATTTCCTACTACATAAGAATTATTTCCCATTTTATAATCATATACATGATATTGGATTTATAAATTAGTTCTTTATATGATATCAGAGATTTAGGGTTTGGCTGGGTCAAGTATTTGAAGATGGTGATGTATCAAGCATTCCGTAGAAGGCTAGTGTTATTTCAATACTTGAAGATGAGAGAATTCTATAGAAGTTGCCCTTAGGGAGAGCATAATGTCGGGCCTCACACTTGAAGGAATGGTGTTAGAAATATTCAAATGTGAGTAGTAATGAAGTCCCACATCGGTTAAACATGAATCAAGTGAGGATCGTATAAGTTAGACAAAATCATAGACTTACAGCCTTAAGATTTTGGGTTAAGATGTGGTGTCGGTTCACTTATCGTGGTTTGTTGCTTGGCCCTTTTATGAAAATATGCTTTGTAAAAGGTTTTATGCTCCCACATACCATTCCTAACAAAGTAATGATCGTCATTTTAGACTTGTTATAAATAACAATTCAACTCTTTTTCAAACTAAGAGGTATGATATAATCGATAAAGTTCAGCAGAGTTAGTAGATGACTGAGTCCTTTAAACATGCTGTGTTGTGTGTATGAAAAAACTTTATTGGTAGAAGCAAAATTTACTTCAATAATCTCTATATCTTGAAAAAATTAGTATTTAAGTTTCGACTGAGAAATACTTTAAAAAAATTCAAAAGATGTGTGATACAAGCCTATAACAGTTTTTAGTTCATTTTCTTCCTTTTCAAAGCATTCGTAATCCATTTCATAGGCAGGGATTCGGGAAGCTCATCCAGGAAAGTATCACTTTATAATATCTAAGGCAAAAATATATGTCATTTTAAAAGATGTAAAATTATATTATTTTAAGTGAGAAAAAGAGATAGATTATAGAAAAAAGAGAATAGGCAAAATAAAAATAAAAAAGTGGATTTTGCTTCTTTGTGAGAGTGAAATGACATAAGTTATGTCATTTAAAAGGACAAATATTTTTCTCAATATTTAACTAAAGCCAACCAACCAATGAGCATTTCTCTTTTTGTCTGTAGTCGTATTTCAAAAAGATTTTAAAAAATTACATCTTTCGTAGTTACAGTATTTTCCTTTTGATTAACAATATTTTACTAAAACAGGATTAAAAAATATTGATTATTAAGTCATTAAAATTAGTCTAATGACGAAGAATTTAGGTAGTTTATATCATGTTATCTATTTAATTTCCATCATTTTATGAATTTTTTTATATTATATTGACTATTTGATCTGTTATATCATAATAGACATTTTACAGAGGTGAAATTCAATATTTAAATTGGAGTAAATATCTTTTTTGGTCCTTAACAAATTTCACGATGCCGCTTTAGTCCCTAACAAATAAAAAGGCTATTTGTGATCCCTAAAAAATTCAAAATAGACCTATTTAATTGAAATCGTGGTCCTTCATAAACTTAATAGTCTCTCAAAATGACTAAAATGGGTCCACTTTGAATTTTCAGGTACAACGGATAGCCTCTTTATTTGCTAGGGACTAAAGCGGGTATCGTAAAATTTTCTGGGGAACAAAAAGGATATTTACTCTTTAAATTGCTTTTATAATAATTTGTTGTAATTTACATAACGCAACTAAAATAACTCTACTTGTACTCCATGGAAGTTAATGCCAGAAAGTAGTATATGCTTTAAACAAACAATTATATATTTTTTATATAAGTTATATTTATCTCATTTCATATGAGATAACTAAATTTTTTACACACAAAAGATGAACGAGTCTCACTTTTTTTTCCTCTCCTTTTATCTATAGGTCTCACTTGCAATCTTGTTTTTTATAATATAAGATAATTATTTTTCTACAACATAAGAAAATTATTATTTTTTATATTATATGAGATAACATACCACTTCTGTTCATACATAGAAAATATGTTAATACTTATTTATTTTTAAATAATAAAATACATATATTTTATATTTATGACATGAAATAACAAGTGTCGTGCAATATTGTATTCCCTTTAAACAAATCAGGGAATTAAAATTCTAAGATGTTAAAATAGATTATCTTACTTGGGGTCCATGTTGAGACATGGAAGAATTAAGAAGGATCATTATGCTGAGGTTATCTCTATAGTCCAAAATAAGCTGCAAGGATGGAAATTCAAGTGCCTATCTATGGCAGACAGAATTACATTAGCAAAAAGTGTGATTTTTGCTATTCCTAGTTATCATATGCAAAATATACTATCCCCACTCATGTTTACCAGGACATTGAAAGGTTGCAGAGGAATTTTATTTGGGGTGATCAAGAGGACAAAAGAAGAGCCCATTATGTTGCATGGGAGACTATGTGCCAACCTAAGGAGTGTGGAGGTCTTGACATTATTAATTTAAAGATTCAGAATGAGGCCTTCATCCAGAAGCTGGCATGGAATCTCATAACAGGTCAAAATAGCCTTTGGATTCGGGTTTTGATAGGAAAGTATGGGAGGAAGCAAAATCCTAACCGAAACCTAATAGCTAAATCTTGTGATTCACCTTTGTGGAAGAGCATTTGCTTAGCTCATTCTAATATATCTTGTCATCTAGAGTGGGTAGTAATGGATGGTAAATCTGTGAGGTTCTGGACAGATTGCTGGGGAGGATGGCAGAGTACCTTGTTTGAGCTGGCCTCTTTTGGCTGATATGGATCTTAAAGTGTGGGATGTTGTGGAACCTAGCACTGAAGACTAGAAGTGGGAATACTTGATCAAGTATTTGGATACTCCTACCTGCAATAGGCTGAGTAATATTACTCCTCCAAAACCAGGCAACTCAGATGATTGGCTGAACTGGAAGTTGTTGAACCCAGGTGAATCTATTGTAAAAAATGCTTATAACCACTTTGATAAGCTATAATTCTGATAAAGACAGAATATGGCCATTTATTTGGAAATGGAGGGGTCCATTCAGAATTGCTGTTTTTTGTGGTTAGCCTGCCTTAATAGGCTGCCTGTTAGGAGCATTACCTGTAATTGGAGTGGTGGGGAAATAGCTTTTCCTTCGTGTGGATTGGAGCAGGAAATTGTGATACACACTCTTAGAGACTGCACAGTAGCTAGGTCTATTTGGGGGAGGTGGTTTGGAGGAAAAATCCCTGCTAAATTCATCTCAACAGATGGTAGAGAATGGTTTGGAGTTAATCTTCTTAAACCTTTCTTCTCCCATTTATGGAACTCTTGGAAGGAATTTTTTTTTGTAACTTGCTGGTACTTATGGCAATAGAGAAACTCCACAGTTCATGATGCTTCATTTACTAGACCCCAGGATCCAATCTTTAAAATTTTGCAGTATCTGGAAGGTATGAAGAGGATTGGTGGTGCTGACCCATTTTCAGCAGGTTCTGAGTCTGTGGTTCTAACTGGTGGTGTTGTTCAAGGAGAAGTGCTAAATGATGCTATGATTTTTGTGGATGGTGTTGTTATTCATGCAACTGGTATAGGAGCTTGTGGAGGGGTGGTGTGCTCCTCGAATGGTACCTGGATGAGTGGGTTCTCCCAACACATAGGCCCTTGCTCACCTCTGGAAGCTGAGCTCAGGGGGATTTTTCATGGCCTTAAACTTGCTGAAAGGCTAGCAATAGACAAGGTATGGATTGGTTGTGACAGTAAGGAAGCTATCTTATGTCTTGAGGCTGAACCTGTAACTTGTGGACTATCTAGTTTAATTGGTATGATCAAGAATGCTACTGCGGGTTTTGATCAGGTACATGTTGATTTTGTTCCTAGAGAGCAGAATGAGGTTGCTGATATTTTAGCTAAATTTGGTTTAAGCTGCAAGGGTGAAGAGACGAGGCTGATTCCCTCTCCCCCTGCTAGCATAGGACCCATTGGAAATCATTTTTGTTTGAGATTGCTGGTAGAGCATACTTCTCTTAGCTTACATCACTTGACTTTGTAGTTTTTTTGGGTTAGACCTTCCATTTATATCAAAAAAAAAAATAGATTATCTAAAAATGTACGTTACGGACTTACGGACATATAGGCTTAGTTTGTAGCTTTCTGTATCCTGGTTCGGGTTGCAGGTGTCCGAACTTCAAAGTTGAAACTTGGAAATTAAAGTGGAATCCCTCCGTGAGCTTCATCGATAAGGAAAATATTTTCGGTGTTTCTGTTGAACCGAATATTTGATATATCTTTTTATCAAATATAATAAAAAAGTAATATTCTTACATTATTTTTGTCTTTATATTTATTTACCTATGTTTCATATTATTTTATTTTTTGGCAAAGAGTATGTATTTTTGTAATACAGAAAATAGCTCATAGGTTCACAGGCTTCGTCCGAGGCACCCTTTGGCCTTCGGCTAAGTGCCAGCCAAATTTTTTGACCAGTTTTACTTTTGTTTATAATTCATTCTTCGTTTGCAGGCATCATTTGCCTTTCTAATAGTTGATTTTGACTACTTTTGATGGAAAGAGAAAGAGGGCGATGCCCTCGGAAACAGTGTAAAATGTCACTGTTTATTACGTTTTTATTTAAATATCACGTGAACAGTGTTATTTTTTAATATGTTACGTGAGCAAATTCGTTGAGCACTGTAACGAATTTAGTTTGATGACATGTCACGTTTTTAGTGGACACAAGTTCGCTACACAGAATAGCAAACTTGGTTGAAATACATATTTCAACCAAGTTTGCTGCCCAATGTAACGAGCTTGGTACTTCTTTTTTTTACTTGATACTTGTTATCCACTAGAAATATGACACGTCAGCAAATATAATTTGCTACAGTGTCCAACAAACTTTTTCACGTAGCATATTAAAAATAATACTGTTCACGTAATATTTAGATAAAAAACCTTAGTGAAAAATGACATTTTAATCGGTGTTTCCATGCCCTCGTGCACTTGCTTAATATTTTTTGTGGCCACGGACTAAGGTGTATGTTATGTGCCTATAAAGTCTGGATTCACCTGCGGTGCTCCTTTAATTTTGGGCAAGGTGATAATAAAGAAATTTTTTCCTTATAATAAAATTGTGTCGTAACGCGTGAGTCAAACAATTGCATTGGGAAAACTATAAAACAAATAGATTGTTAAATGGTGAATAAGTTTATTATGTTATGATTGGAAATTAAAATTTACTAATTATTTGTAAATCTAAAAAGTATTTAATTAGAGATACTAATGATTTTAAATTTATGTTTTTGAATACTCATAAAATCCTTCAAATATCATTCAATTAAGGTTTTCCATGAAAATTAAAATTCTTTAATAATAACTATATTTTGTACAAGAATAAAATTTGAAAATAAAATGTATTTTAAAAATAATATATAGAATAAATAATTTTTTAAACGATAAACAATTTCGTAATTGTTCAAAGTTATATAAATAAAAGGCTATTTTAGGGTATCTTTTTATTAAACTAAATTCATTAATTGAGATAATTTCGGTTCAGTGAATAGAAAAAGAAGAAAACTTTTGACAATTCAAGTCAATTGAAAAAATAAATGAAATGGTAAAGATAGTTTTTATTTTCAAGTAGTTATTCAAAATTACACATACATGAATGAAAGAAAGTGATTTCCAAATTTTATTAGAAGATTGGGCTTTGAACAATAGAATGCACAAAAACGACGTCGGTATAACACAGTCTTCAATAATTCTCGTCGTGATCATATAATTTAATTATTCTTTTGGCGGTATCTAGTTACCTTTTTGACTATCTGTCCCATATTGCTCCTTCAAGTTCAAGGCTGTCCCTTATCAGGTCCCCGACTCATGATCGGGGAATCGAACTTTTTTATCAGATAAAAAAAAATATTGTAGGACCATTTTAAAATTTATGTCTTTTGTGACTAGATATTTTTAATTTATCTAAATTAATTATTAAACTCTAATTATGATAATAACTGATTTTTTTATTAATTTGAGATTAAGTTAATAACGGTGAATAAATCTTTAACTTTTTATCTTTATTGAATTTAAACAGTTAATTTATTTTTTACTTAAAATTTTGAATATTTTTTATTTTCATTGATTCAGGAAAAATAATTGATTTTGAGTTTCATTTTTATTTTTTAATTAAGAAATTCAAAAAATAAGATAATACGATTTTCAATTAAAAATATAAATTAGATTTAATAAGAATGAACAATTAAATTTTATTCACTAAAAATTAATTTCAAGTTTATAAAATCATCTATTGTAATAATACATTGAAACTTAGGAATTAATTAAAGTGAAATTATATTTAAAGATATCTATTCATTTTTATTCTTTTTTTGGTATAAAAAATGAGTTTGGTGTTTGTCATTTTAAATGAAAACTACTCCTATCGAAAATAGGATTGACTACGAATTGTCATTTTAGGAGAGAGATAGAGACAAAAAATGAAAATTATGAATGAGAAAGTGTGTGATTTTTTAATTTAAATTTTAAATAAAAAATTAATTTTTGTGTCTATCTATTTTTTAAAATGACATAATTTTATGTCATTTAAAATGACAAACACTTTAAAAAAAATATACAGAAAAAAAACACACACGGTATTGTGTTACTTGAAAAAGAAGAAGTTAAAACTACATATGTGTGCACGTGTGCGGCAGGGTCGCGCATAAGCTCCAAGGTGAGCCGGTAGCCAGTCACTATGAAAATAAAACTAAATTAATTAAAGCAGCAAGTGCTTCTAATAGTGTTTGGTTCGGGAGAAAAAAATTTTTACTAGGAAAATGTAATTGATAGAAAAATGATTGGAAAATGAGTTTAGTAGGAAAATCTAAAAAAAGTTGTTTGGTTGACCGAAATATTAACAGGGAAATTTATTTAAATATGCAAAATCTATGTTCGGGAGAAACTTTGCACCTATTTTTTCACTTCCCCGGTTATCTCAAAATACCACATCTCAAGTGGTATTCTGTAACAGTGAATTTCATCCAAAAATCAACGCAAAAGTCATTTTCCCATCTATCCTATTTGCCTAGTATTTTTTAAAAAAACCTGAATAAAACGTGATATTTTTCAATATCCACCTACACTTTCTCAAGCAATCTCAAAATAAACCTTCAACCAAACACTACCTAAGTTCTGCCGCAGGGAAGCATTCTTCTTCATTCTCGCTCCTTTCATGTCTATCTCTATTCCTTCTACCCTCTACCTATGTTTATGTAACTTTTGTTACATTGACCTGCAGTAACTGTTTTTGAAGCCTTTGTAGTTGTAGACTTGTAGGAATCATTTTGTTCTACGTAAACAGTATTTTTCTTTCATTTATTTTATTTTTTTAATGATGTTCCGGGGTTGATGATCTCTTACTTTTTGCGGAGCTTGAAGAGGAAGAGAGCTTCGGTATTGGTGATGAAAATTAAGAGTCAATCATGTCGTTCATGATGAATAAGCAAGGCACTACTTTTTGACCAGAGAAAGACATTTTCAGTTAAAGACGGAAAAAGCAAAGTGCGGAGAAAAAAAAGGTGTCCCTTTGAAAGGCATTTCTTCCTTCTCTCTCTCTCTCTCTCTCTCACCCTTTATTGCTTCCTTCTTTCTTTTCACCCTTCCCACACGCTTCTTATCCTTGTCACTTTGGCCTTTTTTCAATTCTAATTTTCATTTGGGCTTCAACTTCCACTTACATAAAAAGGGTATGCAACAATGCCTCTGTACCAGCCACCTAAAAAAGGGAGAAGACAAGGGGATGAGAAGGTTAACGTGCTGAATCTAGAAGCCACCATGAAAGGTGGTGTTGTGGACGGTGGCATCCCTGACAAATTGGATCTGAAGATGTTGATTGAGGAGCTTGAGGCAATTGATGTGCCTTCGGTTTTTATCTGTCCAATCTCTCTTGAGCCTATGCGAGACCCTGTGACCCTTTGCACGGGTCAAACCTATGACAGGTGCAATGTTCTCAAATGGTTCTCCCTCGGTCACAATACTTGTCCCACAACAATGCAAGAGCTTTGGGATGATTCTGTCACGCCCAACAGGACTCTCAACCACTTCATCCTTAGCTGGTTATCTCAAAAGTACTTGTCAATGAAGAAGCAGTTCGAGGATGTGCAAGGAACAGCCCTGGAGCTCTTGGACACGCTCAAGAAGGTAAAGGGTCAAGCTAGAATTCGAGCTCTTAAGGAACTTCGTCAGATTGTTGATTCCCATGCGTACACGAGGAAGAACGTTGTAGAAAATGGTGGGCTTGCTTTGATTTCTTCTTTGTTGGGTCCTTTCACTTCCCACGCCGTTGGGTCCGAGGCTATTGGGATCCTTGTTAATTTGGATTTGAGTTCGGAGTTGAAGAAAAATCTGATGCATCCCGCGAAGGTATCGTTGTTGGTGGATATTATGAATGAGGGAACCATTGAGACAAAGATGAATTGTGCCAAATTGATTGAAATGTTATTGATGGAAGGGAATGGCTCGGAGGCAGAACTTGCCTCAAGCTTGAGTCTTTTGTTTGGGTTACTGAGGTTAGTGAGGGATAAGAAGCACCCAACTGGGGTTTCAACTGGACTCGTATTACTCAAGATTATATGTTCTCAGGAATCAGTTAGAAGCTCCGTTGTAAGCATAGGAGCAGTGCCCCAGTTGATTGAGCTTTTGCCCACTTTGAATAATGAGTGCTTAGAAATAGCATTATATATTCTTGAGGTGTTGTCAACCCTTCAAGAGGGAAGAGTGGCTTTGAAAGAATGTCCAAACATTATACCCAATGTGGTTAAGTTATTGATGAGGGTCTCAGAGAACTGTACCCAATTCGCGTTGTCAATATTGTGGGCTATCTACAAGCTTGCCCCAGAAGAATGTGCCTCAAAGGCTGTGGAGGCAGGGTTGGCGGTAAAGCTACTTTTAGTGATTCAGAGTGGTTGCAACCCGGTGTTGAAGCAGATGTCTGCTGAGTTTTTGAAAATGTGCAGTTTGGATTACTCTACTAGTGTCTTGATTTCCCAGTGTATGCTTACTACAACAATACAATGAAAACCAAAAGAAATTTGTTCATAGTAGCTTCATATACGTTTTTAATACATCCAACTCTGTTTACTTCGGTACCATTTTCGAGTGTATCATACAGAAATTTTATCTTTTATGAAATATACGATTTTTCTTTTTTATTTTTTTTTGGTTAACATAAAGCAACTGCATATCGACGTTAATATAACTAGTTGCTAGTTGGTACTTGGTAGGTTAGCGCTGGTTGGGGATTCGAAATCAGCATGAAGCTGGTTCATGTCCATCCACCAGATAACGTTGTCTGCCTTTGAAATCGAAATTGTTGGAAGCTGAGTTGTAAGATCCTAGAAAATGATAATGTAATGGTCCAATTTATACTAAACCCCACTTTTTTTTTCTGCCTTTATGCTGAGATTTGCCTGGATGTGGAACCTTTCAGTATGTTTGGGTTATTATTATTATCATTAATATTATTATATCACAGTTGTAAGAAACTCTAAATCTCTTTAACATATAATTTTTTAGGAGAATATTTTTCTTATGTTGCATAAGAGAAATATTATCTTCTACCCTCACATTTTTTTAAATGGGTCTCACAAATTTTTTTTCTCTCACCTCTAATTTTTTTCTCTCTTCTATTTATTGTTTGAGTAGCAGATAATAATTTTTCTTATATTGTTCTCTTATGCAATATAAGAAAAGTATTACCCAATTTTTTATTTCACTTATATGGTTGTGTTCTTGTAAGAAGAAGCGATTGTTTTTGACAGGACAGAAAATGGTTTTTCCCTGTCAAACAAAGTAATGGGTCGATAATAATCTGATTTGGGTGGGTAGAGGTATGGTCAGGATCTGGAGAGTGGAGACTATAGTCTGTAATACGACTCTATTTAAAACTGTAGTAAATTTTAAAGTAAGGGAAGACAAGACAACAGAAACGATTTATCATTTATGACATGTGTTATTCGTATTTCAATTTTGATAGGAATCTTGTCTTTCCGTGGTGTGGGCGGGCTCGTGGAATTGAACGATCTCAAAAATTTTGTAGCCCGCGCTCAGTTGATGAGTTTTGCAAACGAAAACAATAGTAATAATTTATCAAAATAAAAAAATATAGTAGTATATCTGTTAGCTCTAATATTATACCATTTCTGTTAAATAGGTTATAGCTTAGTTGAGAGTTCTAGCTTGACTGACATCAATTTATAAGGGTAATATATTGGTCATGTAAATAAATATAACGTGAGAGAAAGTTTTAATGGACCCCACATCAATTCTTGTGTGTGGAGAAAAACTTTTTGTTTTCCTGTTACGTAATCGAAATATTACCCATTTATAAATCTTTAAATTTTAGATGCACTGACAATGTTAATGAGAAAGATCTAGAGCTCGTTTTAAGTTAAACTTAAAAAATAAAATTTAAAATTATTTGGTGATTATATAAAGTTATTGTCATGATTTTAAAGGAGAAAAAATAAAATAATTTATTACTAGGATAAATAATAAAATTTATATATATAAATTTATTATAAGGATAAAACTATAAAATAAATATTAAAACATATATTTTAAAAAACAGCTCCTTCTCGAAACTTATAACTTTTTTTTACTATAAAAAAAGGGCAAACATTCTCTTATGTTGCAGTGCAGTTAATATATATCTTCTACCATAGAGACATTTGCATAATGAGACCCATCACCATTAAAAATAAAAAAATAAAGAAAAAACTTAAAAAAAAAATTGTGTGGCAACAGGAGATGATTTCTCAGCAGTCCCATGAGAAAATCATCTCCCATAAAAAAAATACTCTTTTCATAATAATAACTTTTATAAAGTTTTATTTGGTTAAATTTTTGCTTGTAAAGAAAGATAAGCTAAAAATTAAACATATTACACAAGCAGTTAATTTTTTACATGTCACACATTTAGATGCTTGCATTTTATTTTATTTTTTTGGTTTCTCAAGGTATCCTCCAGCTAACGGTCGAAGACTAATCATTTTGAGGTGGAAGGTCACATTAAGTGGGTAAACCTCTCCCAACAAAGCCTTTTTCATACACACGGCCAGTGATCGAACCCCTGTCAGCATGTTTAAGGAACACAGCTATCTACCAACTGTGCTGAGCTTTGTTGGTGATGCTTGCATTTCTAATGCTAACAAAAAGAACGCCAATTTAATTTCTATATATGATGTTTTATTATGTTTAAATTTAAATTTCGTACAAGCATTTCGTACACAGCTATCACATTAATTTCTATATATAATGTTTTATTATGTAACCCAACCCATTTCATTTTGGAGGATTGATTATTGACCTATCGGGTTTAATCCATACCCTCGATTCCTCCTCTGTGCTTTATTCAAGTAGCATTGGCTCTGATTGATTAGTGTTTTTAAAAACTGTTTTTTAGTTTTCAGAACAAAAAAACAAAAAAACTTGTTTGGTAAAGTCTGTTTTGGAAAAAATAATTTAAAAGCTATAACTGTTTTTTTTGTTTTTAGAATCAAATTTAGAAAATATGTCTGAGTTGTTTTTGTTTTTTGTTTTTGTTTTTAATTTTCAAAACAAAAAAAATACAGAAAATAACTGTTTTTATAACTATTCTACAGAACAGTTTTAAGAACAAAAAAACCAAAACATAATCAAACAGGCCCATTATTTCTTCTTCTTAATCGTTTAACTAAGCTATTGGGAACACTCAATCAAGTGGGTAATTGAGAAATATTATACACTCAATCAAAATTTAATTTTACTAAAAAAATTATTTTGGCAAGTGTAATTTAAAAAATTACAACTACAAGTGGGTAATGATTAGCGTGGAAAGGCAAAAAATATAAGTATCAATAATCCCACTCTTTAAAAAATTGCAAATATAAAATTGAAATATAATAATAATATATTTTTTTTATAGATAACATGGAGATACAATCTCATCCGACTATTTTGTTCTCGTAATTAGGGGTCTGCAAAATAATCAAAAAATTGAATCGAACCATGAACCAAACCGAACCGCCTTTAAAATAATCGGTTTTTAAAAATCAGTTCATGAACCAAATCAGTTTTTAAAGAACCAGTTCATGAACCAAACCGAATTTTAGAATCAGTTTAAGAACCGAACCGTTTTGAACCGAACCGAACCGTTTTTAAACCGAATCAAATTGATTTTATAACTTTGTTTTTTAAATTTTTAATTTTTTTTTTTAAAATAGGATCGACCCGAACCAAACCACTTTCGAATCAAACCATTTTCGAACCAAACCGAATCATTTAAACCTATTCGGTTCGGTTTTTCAAAAAATTCGATTCGACTCATGCACATCCCTACTCGTAATACAACCCTAATACTAACTTCTCGTTAGAACAGACAGTGCATTGGACCATTTCCACAGAATAAATGATGAGAATAATCCTCCTTTCAAAGAGAGACAATTTCCCTCTAACTTCACAAGAATTTATTTTTGAATCTATGACGAAAACAAATCTTTCTACACTCAATTGCAAATTGAGCTATCATTGAGGGTTTGAAATATGATTATTAATTAGCAAAAAAAGAGTTGCTAGCCTAGCTCCATTTATATATTGTCCCATTAAATCCCAAAGAATACTTATATATACCACAGTACCTCAAATTATTTGGTGCTTCCATGATCGGTTTGTGTGTTTTTACTGAGAAAAGCTTAACTTCGGGTCCAGATGAATAGCCCAATGCTGACTCAGGTACCCCATAATATTTGTAAAAATAAAAATAAAATAAGCACTTAAGCAAAATGTATTTAAGCTCAACGCAATGCACGTGCTTGGATCGATTTCTTCAGAGTGTCATATATGTATTCCAACTGTTGAGTATTTAGTTTGGGTGGTGACAAGTTGGAGCGATTTGTCTAAAATTGGTAGGCGACCACAGTAGTGCATAAAGCACCTGATCCCAGCCGCAACCTCCCCTTGTTTAACCTCTTCGAAACGATAAACCTTTGGCAGGTCACATTCTACGGATCCCCCAATTTTTATTTTTTTTTAAAAAGAAAATGTCATGGCTGGCTCGTTCCCTGGCAAACTCTCTCCGACTCGATGGCGACGGCGACGATGAAAACGACATCGCACTCGACCCTCCAACTACCTCATCAGGAAGCTACCCGCAACACCAACGTCAACCACAAGAAAATGCACTTGGATCAGAAGAAGATGAAGAAGGTGATGATGAAGAAACGCAAGGGCGTGGGGTCAAAGAGGACCTTGACGAAATCAAGCAAACCCTAACTCGTCAATTTTGGGGAATGGCTTCCTTCCTCGCTCCGCCCCCAACAGGTTCCCAATCTGATGATCCCACCCCAGCCTCAGCCCCATTCATTTCCAATCAATTCGATTACTCTGTGTCTGAGAATGGAAATGAACAACAAGAAGTGTTTGACGCTGCAATTTCCAATCAATCTTATTCTTCCGACGTGGAACAAGGAACATTCCCCGTGGATGACCCGAATCCGGACCCGAATTTGGTTTCCTTTGGATCGGATTCGGAAGGGAATCGGGAACCGGAGTGTGCTCTCGAACGCGCGGTTGGAATTACAGAGGAGGTATTAGCCTTCGCCATGAATATCTCCATGCATCCCGAGACATGGTTGGATTTTCCTATTGACGAGGAAGAAGACACCGAGGGTAACCTTCTTAAATTATATGATCGTTGTAGTGCTTGTAGTTAGTTGAATTTCATATTGTTTCTTAAGTGGATCAAATCACAGGATGGTCATTACTCATTACAATTTTAAATTGCTTGTATTTGTAGCCATTCTTAAAGGTGAATTATAGTGTATTGTACATGCCTTCATAATTTAGATAATCATATCCTATCATTAGTTGGTTTTTATTTATGGTAGTCTTCTTGACAATGTTAGTTTTCGCATGGTCATGTGTTGCATGCTTTAATTCAATTCTTTTGGTCATCTGTTACATGCTTCAATTTCTCTAGTGATGCATTGTACTTGTAGATTTTGACATGTCCGACGCCCAACGAGAGCATGCATTGGTCATTGAAAGACTTGCCCCTAGATTAGCTGCTCTCAGAATTGAACTATGTCCTTGCCATATGAGTGAAAGTTACTTCTGGAAAGTCTATTTTGTACTTTTGCATTCAAGGCTCAATAAACAAGATGCAGTGATTTTGTCTACACCCCAGGTCAGTTACACTGGCTTTTGCATCGATCTTGCAATCTCTTGAAAGATGTTGTTGATGAAGTCATTTTTAGTTGTTTTTGCTCTTTATTTATGTAATTATAAATGCTTGGATCCTCTGCACTAGAAACGAATATTCCAGTATCTTTATTTGATGGAAGAGCAAGCTCGCAATTTGGAAATAGGTGGTTTTAAATGTCTTCTTTTGGGAATTACGGAATTGGTATGATCAATCATCCTTTATGATTAACTGGGGAGTGTATTGCAAAGTACTATGGTTTGGCAATAATTATAAATTATAAGTAATCAGGTAAATCATAAGCCAGGCAGACTAATATGAAGTGGTTAAGTTACCTTACTGTTGCGTTTATTCCTTTGGTTCACACTGCTCGGTGCTCAACCTTGTACATTATGGAATAAGATCATTTGAGCTGAGAAGGCTTATATGCTTAATACAATTCAAGGTCCTTTTCAGTGGTTCAGATTTATTTTATTATAGAATTTTTAGATTCTAAAAGTTTAGATAATTCAGTTTCTTTTTCTTGAATCCCGGGGGACTATGCACTTTATGATATGTTTTTTCTTACAAGATGAAGCCATTTCAATCTCTTAATTAAAAATATATTAAACTTCTATGTCAGTTGGGAGATTTCTTTGGGCTTCAAAAATATGTTCTCCTTACCCGTTCATCTTAGTCTTTCTTCTGTCTCTTTGGACCTCATTTGAAAAGCACATATCTATTTCTTGTGTGCTCAATTTTTTTATAGTTATTTTTATTTTTCCAGTTTCTTCTCATTTTGCAAACACATTGAACAATGTTTCGATGCCATTGAAAATTTCTAATCTTTGATTATTTTTATTCACACGTGATTCTCTTTTACGAAAATGATATTAGCACTGATGTTTGTCTTTAATGAATTTTGATGGCATGTGTTATTAGTATTATATTACAAATTATAAGTACTTATGATGTACACTTCTATATATTAAATCTCATACTTGAAAATAAGCCTGGAGAAGAAAAGTTTGCCATTTTATAGGTTAGGTTTCCATATGTTTTATTCTCATCTTGACTCATTATAGTTATTCAATATAATTGAATGGTTCATAATTGAATTGGTAACGTAAATTGCTTATTCTTCCAGTCTGAAATGTTTATGGCTATTTAACAGTTGGATCCATTATTGTTTAGCCATGAAGAAAATTCACTTTTTCTTAAGAGGTTTATTGAAGTGTTCTCTTGCTCAGTTTGGTTCAGTATCATCAGCAATATTTGTCTCTAATGTTCGTGTCTAAAGTTTACTAGCACACCTACATTAAGCTAGTATGTTACATCTACCTGTATGGGTAGATGAACTTTTCTTATGTCTCAGTTTTAACGTTTGCAGGTCATGGCAGCTAGAGCAATGTGGATGCAAGAATTGCAGAAACAAATGAAGCCTGAATTTGAATTTTGTGGAAGAAATACTCTCTACTCGAGAGACAATGCTCAGCACGATGATTTTGCTCCCAGCTTATCACATGACACCTATCCTGATGACATGCCACATCGGACATATGGTTATGAAACGACCTCTTTGTCCACGATGGCAGATTACGAGACTGAGAAGCATGCTGTTGAAAGTTCTGAAACACATTTCACTGATAAGTCTGTTATTGAAGAAAATCCAATCACTAAAACTGAGAACAAGGATCTAAGATGTGGTCGATCTTCTCAAATTATTATTCAGGACTATGGTGATGATGATGATGATGACTGGCCAGAGGAAGATTCTGATTTAGGGGGATATGATGGAACAACTCTCCCGGTGGTGAATGGAGAAGACATATCTTTCAGTGATCTCGAGGATGATGATTATGGCATTAAACCTGTTAGTTCCAACACAGGTTCAAAGGTGATGTGAAACTTCAATCCAGATGACATGATTGTGGTTATTTAGGGCCATTAGGTTCTCATTCAGAAGTAAAAACAGTAAAGAAAGTTGCCTGATGTTGGGAAAAACCTGGGTATTGGTGTCTCGAGCATTCTTCTGTACGTAATGAATGGTAAGCGAAGTTGTGAAAGTTCCAAGATGCTATTTGAGGCTGTAAAACGAACTTGTTATGCCTTTTTTCCTTACATTTTTTTTGCCGCAAGGTGGATGCCGGAAACAACTCAAATGAAAAGGAAAAGTGGAGCTAAGACTGATACTTTTGATCCGTGTTTTTTGGAGATCGGAAACGAGATTGTGGGTTGAAATATATGCATCAATCCGACCGACAGCTGTTTCAGAACATACATCATATAGGTGCTAGAAGTGTATATAAAATGTTATGTGTCTCGTCAAATACAGAATTTGAATTTTCTCCTATTCTTATGGCGGTTGTAGTAGGGTTTGGGGTGCTCTTTCTTTCTCTTTTTTTGGTGTTGTCCTCCTGATTGCCTTGCTGTCAACTGTGTTTGAGAACAATAAAGTGATTATTTGAATGACAATGACTGATCCAATGGTCAAAATAATTGTTATTTTAGAGATTTTATTTATTTCAAATTATTTGTTCTTTTGAAAGAGTATTAATAAAGTAAGAAGATAATATAGTTAAATAAATTCATTTTTTTAATTAATAATTGTTTAATAATTATTTAATTATTATGTAACATTTTAAATACTACTTTTTTTAAAAAAAATAAAGGGTGAAAGTTAAGAACCAAAGATTATTAATTTGAAAAAAAGATCACTATTCATTAGGAGGTGTTTGGTAGGAGGTTTTTTTTAAAATCCTGAGAAACTGATATTAGAAATCATACTTACCTATGTTGGTAGAAGGGTTGCAAAAATTTCCCCAGATGAACCGGATTTCCAAGATTCTTTTTTATGAAGAAAAAAGCCAATTTGAAATACCAATGAATCGGTCGTATTTTGCAAATCCGACCCCATGGAATTGTTTTGTATTTTTTTTTGGACATAACTAACCCTTTCTTCTTCATTCTTATATCCTTCTAGGTTCTTCTTTCAAAATCATTGTTCAAAACAGATCTGCAAACAAACCAGAAACCACTGTCCATTTTTGGGGTCCCAATCAAAACCCAGAAATCAAACAAACCAGAAACCTTCTCTGGTTCTGATTCACGAGTTTGATCCTTCTGCTATTTGGCAATGGTGTCAGCAAGTCTAGTTATGATTTTCTTCATCTGCATTATATAAGTTGCAAAAATCATCTCCAGGGAAAATTTCTCTTGATGGGAAAAAGGAAATAAATTATCTTCAACCAGTAATATTTGATAAAATCACACGAGGCTATTTTGGTAAAATCATATCATATTCCTATTAGCATTTGAATATCAACCAAACATAGAAGTAGTAATCTTGAGCCAATATTTTCAGTAAAATTTTAGTTTACCAAACAACTTTTTGGTAAAATTTCTGAAAATTTACTTTCCTACCATATTTTTAATAATTATGATTCCTTGATAATTTTTTTTTTTTCTTCTGCCAAACGCCAGTAGTAGTTTTTACAATGGGGGATGTTCTAACGGGGGGTACTTTTGTTTTACTTTTTGACTGTGTTAGAATGGACTTAGAAACTAACCTATTTAGTTACTTGCAGATGTCTGCAATTTATTCCCTCTGGAGTAGACGTTTGATACCATGTTGAACTTTCACAGTATGTCATGGCACTTTAGTGATGTTTGTTTTTCTATATTGTCTTTTCAATTGTAGTAAGTATTAAGTTTAACTCTTTGCTCACTTCATGTCTAACAATTTCATGGTTTATAATAGATTACTTTGTGTTATGGATCTAGTGGTTTCCACTCTCTATTCCCATTGCATGGAACATTTCATTTCACCATTCTCTCGTAACTTTCATCCATTATCAATAACCACTCTCCCTTAGTAAGACGCAGAACTTCTCGTTACCTGTCATCTTTATTATAAGTTCCGTAGATGCAAATATTAACTATCTTGATAGACATTAATGTTCATTTCCGAACACTTTATATATCTGAACTTATAAAATTCATGCTAAATCAAAATTTTCAAAAGATTTGATTTGAAATATCATTGTTAAAGATAAATCACTTGTTTTAAAAAAATTATTTTAACATCAATTGAACAGTAATCTAATCTAAACATATATTAAACAATTTTAATCTTAAATCAATTAAGAGAAAAGTGTGTATCATTTTAAATGATGTAAAGTCATGTCATTTTAAATGAGAGAAAGAAATAGATAAAAGAGAAGATAGAGTTGATAAAAAAATATAAATGTGTGGGTCTCATCTCTTTATAAGAGTAAAATAACATATGTTATCAAAAAAAAATAAAAAAAATAACATAAGTCGTGTCATTTAAAAGGACAGATATTTTTCCTATCAATTAATTTTGAATTTAATAAGCTTTTTCTGGAAAGGAAAATAAAATCATTATACAAGTTGGATGAATGTTAGACTCTTTCTCGATTCTGCAATTTTTTATTTTTTTTCCTTCAAATAATATAATAAGTTTGAACAAATATTAAATGAATTAAGTTCGTTAGTAGAGATAATATACAAACGGGAAATGAATCCTTTCGTGCCAAAAAAAAATAACATGATAATATGGGAAGATATAACCATATAAAGTTAAATCAAAGGTTATAGTTTTATAACTACTTATTTTAATATATATTTTTCTATTCTTTTATTATTATTGATCCATCTTTGTATAATTATGATTTTTTACATGATTATGACATTCTTTTTCAGGGAAAAGTTCAAAAAAACCTCATGCCATTGCCATTACTTTGAATCACTTACACTTCTATATTTTTTTTAATCACTTGATCTGTTAACCTCTCGTGGTTCTTTCTGTTCAGCCCCTCCTTAACACCATTAGAAACTTGACTAAATATACCTATTTTATCCTTCTAAATAAAGTGATAAAAAAAAAAATAAGATCAACTGTTATGAAAACTTAAAATACTTAATAAAAGACTAAAATAAAAAAAATATCAAACGTGTCTACATAAAAAAATAGAATAAGGACAAAAAAAGTTATTCTTTGTATTCTTGATCTATTTTATTTTTTAATTGCATATGTTTGATTTTTTTATATCTCTATTTTATTTTCTCTTTTTTTAAAATTTATTTTACCAAATTTTTTAGTAGATTGGGTGACATAAGGCTAAAAAAAAGAGAGAAAAGAGATTTAGAATAAAATAGACCAAAAAATAAAAAATAAATAAAAATAGAAAAAAGACCACACATATCTAAATAAAAAAAAGAATAAAATAGACTAAGGACAAAAAAGAAAAAAGAAAAAAGAAAATCAAATATATTGAAAACTCATAATTGTGATTTCTTTTTGTTTTATTTTATTTTTTATCTTAATTTTTTTCTATACTTCGTCTTTAGTAATTTTTTTTTCATTTGAGCTAATTTTATTTTTTTAGTTTTGGTCTTTTTTGTCACTGTTGTTATTTTTAACATATTTGACCTTATTTTCTATTTTATTTTTTTATTTAGACACCTTTGATTTTTTTTCTATTTTTTCTTTTTATATTTTATTAAGTGTTTTGAGTTTTAATAATATTTAGTCTTATTTTTCTTTTAAGAAAGATAAAATAGATATACTCTATTAATTTTATAATAATATTAAGTAAGGATGCGATGAAAAAAATCACAAAAAATTAAGTGATTAAAGAAAGGATAAAGTATTTTTTCAGTCACTAAGATAAAATTATTTTCAATGAGCTCAAAATGATATTGCTTTGAGTTAGAAGATTAAAAATTTATAATGATAAAAACTAATATAACTTTACAATATATTATAATTACAAAAAAACTTTGATTTCCGTCCCAAAACAATATTATTTTAGACGGAAAAATACTTTCTTATGTTGATGGAGAAAACATTTCTCATGTCATTCATATATCGATATTTGTGCATTGTTTTTTTACAGGAGAATTTATTTTCTTATTTAAAAAGAGAAAAACAAAACCTTATTTAAGACTCACCGAAAATAATTTATCTTGGGAGAAATTTTACCGTAAACAAAAAGGTATAAAAATGTAAGTGATGAGCAATACGATACGAGCTTTTTCAACTTTTTCCTTTTTTTAACAGGATCCAGATTGTCTACAAACGTGTACGGCAACGTGGATTGATTACAACAAATTATTTCTTGTATCCCATTGGTGCTAACTTAGCAAGAACAGAGGATTGACCAGACCATAACAATTCAACAACCCCTTATTTGGCGCGGTATCTGCTATTTGCCTCGACAAGTCTTCATCTTTAAAAGCGAAAACACAAAAACGGACGATACCATTTTACCAACGGTAGTTGCAAGATTTCCCAGAACATTGCTGTTCACACCCTCTAACAAACCCCCAACAGCTCCATTTATTTCCCTCTTCCGTCTCTTCGTTTTCGTTACCCTAAATTGTTATGCATTTATTTTCTTGTACTGAATTCAAGACATTATTACCACAGTCAACCACTGCTGAAACCCTAAAATTGGATTCTTCTCTCTCTCTCTCTTTACCACCCCTCCTCTTGGGTTTTGATTTACCTCTCCGATATTCTTCATGGACCTTCCGCTGCTAAGGAAGGGTCTCGATTTTTCTCGAAGAAATAAAAAGTGGCTTCTCCTAATTGCCATGTTCGGAGCCTCCGGTTACGGTGCTTACAGGGCCTACCATTTACCCTCCGTGGTTCAGAAGAGGAACCGTCTCGTGAAGCTTCTCAGAGCCTTCGTTTCTGTTGCCGAGTTGGTTTCCAACTCTGCAGACACCGTTTCCCTTCTCTCTAAGGACTTGAATCAATTCCTCACTTCTGATTCCGACCAAATCCCCAACAGTTTGAAGCAGTTATCCAAAATTGCAACATCGAATGAGTTCTCGTCGTCGCTGGCAAGGGTTTCGGAGTCTTTAACGCTTGGAATTTTGCTAGGGCATAAATCTCAGGTGAGCAACGATAATCCCTCGGAAATCAGTGTAGACAGTTCTAGCTTTTCGGATAAGGTGTTGGATAGGCTTTTCTCCCAGGCTGGAACCGGTTTCGTCTCGGTTGTGGTTGGAAGTTTTGCAAGGAATTTGGTTTTGGGATTTTGCTCTCATGCTGAATCGGTCGATGGTAAACTCAATGCGCGGGCTCAATCGGATGTTCCTGGATGGGTGAGTGTGATTTCTGATGATAGGTGTGGGAAGCTCATTGGGGACTGTGTACAAATTTTTGTGAGCACTGCTGTCGCTGTTTTTCTTGACAAAACAATGGATGTCAATCCCTACGATGATGTGTTTGCTGGATTGACCAATCCGAAACACCAGGAAAAGATGAAGGGCATTCTGGTTTCTCTGTGTAATGGTGCTGTTGAAACTCTTGTTAGAACATCTCACCAGGTTTTGACAAATCCAAGTGTGAAATCGAATTCAAATTCATCTGTGTCTTCTATTGTTCAAAAGAGTTTAGATCCAACTTTAACTGAAGATGGGTGCCTGAAAACTGAAGCATTTCTTCAGCAACTCCGACTTGGAAGCTCAATTTCTGGGGCTCAGGATGCTGGGTGGGTTGAACAGATTAAATCAACACTGTCAGTTCCAGCCAATCGAAGATTCGTGATTGACGTGACAGGGAGAGTGACATTTGAAACAGTGAGGTCGTTTGTGGAGTGTTTGTTATGGAGAATATCAGAGGGATTCAAAAGGAGTCTTAGTAAAGTTCATGATGAAGTTGTGGACAAAGGACTGGAAGTCGTTAGATATGTTGGAGCTAAGTCATCAGTTATTCTTACCTTCTGTCTTGCTTTGTATTTACATATTCTGGGTGGTAGTAGGATTCTCTTGCCTGCTTAGTATGGTGATTAACCCAACTCCTTGCTTGTAATGTAGTTGAAATATAATGGAAGCAAAATTAATTCTTTAGCCTATATATATTTTGCCAAGTATTAAAAGTGGGTGAAAAAATTCTGGTTGTAATCTTCAAGTCACCTCTTAGTCTTTTTCCATGCAAAAAAAGAAAAGAAAGGTTGCTTTAATTAACATTGCTTCATTGCAGGATGCGTATAACATAACGCGTCTGAAAATTGGATTAATTTTTTATACTGCTTTGTGCATTCTGGAATGGAAACAAAGTAAGCAGCTCTAACCTTGTAATATTTATATTCATATACAGCAGTATATGAATAAAAATCTTCCAATTTAAATTTGCCTCCTCAGTCCTCTTAATCTTATTCCTCCGTCACAAAGAAACTCAGTATTAAGTATATTTGTTTTTGGTTTTTATGACAAATTGACAATCATAATTGATTGACTATATTGTTTTCCTTTCTCTATAAATTTGAGAATACGTAGCAGATTTGACTCTGTTGGATATATATCTCACGAATTTTGAGACTGTTGACCTCGTTAGGTGAGTTTAGCTTCTCTTATGGGTGAGTGTGAATCCATTTCCTCCTGTTGACAATTCCAGATTTTTGTGCGTGAGACCATGTTTTGTCAATAACTGTATACGTGTAACAAACTGCATACTTTGTATGGCCTGATACATTTTTCTCTAACTAGAATACCACAAGCATGTGCATCTTTAAATTCTGTGCATCACGGTTAATATATCTGATTATGAACGAGTATTGTTCCTGTTTTATGCATTCTTTATTCTGTAATGATTTCTATGGAGATTAGGCTAACATGTCTTTATTTTGAGTTGTTGTGTACCATTTAGTCACTTCTGTTGAAGCAGTGATACACTTTGTGAGTAACCTAACAGAGTGTTTTCTCTGTGGTGCCTAAGCATTCTTGACTGTTATTATACACTACACTTGAAAATGGGTCAGTTACCTTCTCTTCATGGCAGTTTTTCTGAAACCACACGGAAGATTTAAAGAAAAAGAGCGAATCTTTATTGATGATTGAATACCAATCAGAGAAGGAGAGAAATCTCCTCTAAGGGTTTCGCCTTAGGACTGAGCCACTGCTCTGTTTTCTCAAAGCTAAGAACTCTATTTATTCCTTTCTTTCCCTCTTCTTATTTAAGCTAAACTCGTACCCTTCCAACTTTCTAACTAGCTAATTGTTATCTTGATACTCTATTGTAACTAACTGTTGATATGTGGGAATCTCTAACAATACTCCCCTTCCCCCTCAAGATTCACGAAAAGATTGGTTTGTTAGGATATTCAAGTGTGATAAGTCTCACATTGGTTGGTAATGTGTGAAGAGTATATAAGTGGAAGGACCCATAAATCCAATGCCTAAAGGTTTTGGGTTGAGATGTAGTGTCGGACCCACTTGATGTATTTGATCTACTTAGCTCATTGGTGGTGGTCTCGCGCCACGGGCTTCCTCTGGACCCGCCTGATATGGTTGGGTTTCCGAAATGTGGAGCTTTGTTTTTTCAATGCTAACAACTCTCTACTCCCTTCTACCTCTTCTCCTATTCAAGCTAAACTCCTGTCCTTCTTACTTTTTTACCTAACTATTGATACTATAACTAACTGTAGATATTTGGGAATCTTTAACACTGATTCCAGTACAGGGCCAATAGGTTTGTAGTTTTCAATAATGAACGTACTATGATTTGAGGCCTTCTTCCTTGGATGTTGCCTGAGCTATAGTTTTGTCTTCTCTTGCTCTGTTTTTTCTTTTGCCATGAATGAGCTGTTGTTAAGACTTAATAGTTAAAAAGCTTTGCAAATCTGTGACTGAGAGGTTGTCTTTTCGGAGTATTATAATTTGCTTGCTTCATTAGTTATCAGTTATCACATTTTCTGTAAACTACAGAACCCATTCATTCTTATATAGAGCCCGGATAAATCTTCTTGCAAGTTTGCACAGCAAAATTTAGGTCTAGGAATCTAGTAAACAATATGCCATCCGCGGGGAGACCACTTGCATTTTAGAACCATACGATCATAGAGAAATTGTCATTGCAGTTCGATCCTTTTTATCCTCAATTGTTAAGTTTAGCAATGATCGAGCAATATGTATCGTTAAGAATGAATTTGTACTGGTGTAAAAAATAACATTAAATTTCAATAGTTGATCTATTTACATCAAATTATTTTTAATTTATTAGTCATATAAGCTATTAAATATAAGTTAAAATAATAAATAAGATTGAGAATGTAAAATTTTATCTCTCTCTCTCTCTATATATATATATATATATATATATATATATGGAAAAAAAAATATCTAATGTTACTTTAAATAACTTTGTCTTATATTCATTGAAACGACGTCGTTTTGGGGTTGAAAAATAAAAAAATTAGAATGATAAAGACTATTATAATCCTGAAATAAATTAAAATTACAAAACGACGTGATTTTCTTCCCAAAACGATATCATTTTGGTGAACATTAGATTGGTGATTTTCTCCCTAGCCTTATTTCAAAGTTTACACGCCTAGTTGTACTTTTAGGCTTTTAGCATCTCAAATAATAAACATCTCTTCCCAAAAGATGAATGATTCTTCCACTCTGTAGTAGACCAATTATAAGTTGTTATCAGTATCCGTTTTCACACACATTTCGAAAAGTAATGCAGTAATTACTGGCTAACGATGGTCATTAGAAATCTACTTTGGACTCGTGAGTCAAGATTATCCAATTTCATAAACACTACTCACTAGATTCCTCACTTTTTTTTTTTTTTGGGAGGACTTCGATTTTTTTTTTTTTTATGGTCGACGCATTGAACTTTCTCTTGTATAAAACACTTCTGCATGTTTGACACTATACTAACGTTTGATTTATAGTACTTTTCGAATCTCTTCAGTACCACCTTTGAGAGGGGTTTAAAGCCTTAATCCTAGACCGTCCCGAATCGGATTAGTTGCGAAGCAATGAATCGATTGGAATATTTCTAAAAAAAAAGATTTATAGTACTTTTGGATTAGTTTATTTTAAGGTTTAAAAAGTCTGTTTTAATAATTTTTTAGAACTTTTTTTTAAAAAAGAAACTATTATTTTCAATTTTTTAACAGTCGCTGGTAATTTTTTAGAAATAAATAATTGCTTTTTTTAAAAAAATTAAAATATTTTTTAATCAAAATAAATTTATTAAAAATTACATTTGAATATTAGACAGAATATCCCGAAATCGAGGGTAATTACAACAGAGGTTGGAATTTGGATGGAAAACGTTGGATGTTACATAATGGATTTCGATATCTATAATCGCAAAATCAATGGTAGAATATTGGCTCTTTGACCAGTTATTTCCATTTGAATATACCAATTTGATATTTGGTTAAGAGACATTACTGTTTGGGGTTTTTGAGTGCCGCGGGACTCTAAATGACGTCCACAAACCTCTGCGGCACTCATGTGATTTTCTTTTTCGGACACAGTGCCGCCAACACCCTCCATCTGCACCAGTTTTTTATTTTATTTCTTAAGTGCCGCCCATCACCCTCACGACACTCATTTAAAATATTTATATTTATATTTTTTGAGTGTCATCCCCCTGGGAAACTCGGACGGCATGCTAAGTGGCACAACTCCAGCCGTCCGAGCCCCACATTTTCCTATTTTTTACCTCTGTGTTTCTCGATTTCATTGTTATAGCAAAATTTCAGATCTGTTTCATTCTTTTATCTCCCTCTTTTTCCATTTGCAGCATTCTCTTCTCCTTTGTTTTTTTTTTTTCATTTGCATAGCATACGATTGGTTGCAATGAAACGATTGATTGCAGTGAAACGATTGCAGTAAAGTGAAGCACTGAAGCTTTTCCAAAGCAAAAAAGCTCTAAGGCAAGTTAACATCATTTTCATTTTATTAATTAATTAAAAATATTTAAATTTTTTAATTATTTTAGATATTTGACATAATATTTAGAATACACTAGTTTTTTTACTAACACAAGTATGTGCAATTAATTATATTTATATAGTTGTCATAATAATTAGTCAGAGAGACAGACTGCAGTGAAAAAGAAGAGAGAAGGGAATTACAGTCACTGAAAAACAAAATTTGGGTGAAAGAGAAGGATGAGGGGAAAAGGAGATGGGGCTCATAGGGCTGGGGAAGTGCCACGCACATCGTCCAAGTTCCGAGTTTGAGGGGGGGGGGCAATTGCATGTTAAAAAAACAATTATTAAATGAGTGTCGGTTGGGGGTGGGGATGAACCTGGGTTGCAAAAAATAAAAATTATATATTTAAATGAGTGCCGCAGGAGGTATGGGCGAGACTTAGAGTCGCTGGGTACCCCCCGGCGGAACTCAAAGACCCCAAACAATATTTTCTCCCAATCAAATATCAAATTGGTATATTTAAACGAGAAAAATCCATGACAGGTGAAAGAGCCCTAGAATATTCTTAATCATGAGAAACATTGATTAACGCCTATGACAAAAAGCATGGGTATTTAGTGCCATCTCTCTACAAGTCACCAAGTATTAGTTGGTAATGGATTAAGTGAAGTGGATATAAGTGAATGGATCCACGAACCCAATGTCTTAAGGTTTTGGATTGTGTTGCGAAAAATCGGCAAGTGTACCGATCGTTCCAAGTAATAAAAGGGTAAGTAGAGTATCGTCTCCACGAGGATTGAGGCACCGAAATTATTCTAACTATTCCTCTCTTGTTGGATGAATAAAATTGATTTGAGAATAATTATGATTTGTAAAAATTGAGAATAATTCAAGATATGTGAATAATTCAAAGATGCTTTTGAAAACTTAAGAATAACAGATTAAGATTGAGAAAATGTTTAAAAGAATATTGCGGTAAAAGATGCCAACACCTTTATGATCCCCACCTTGCAATATTAATTAATGTTTACATTTAGTTACTCATTGATCAAACAATTCACCATATGTTAATTGATTAGTTAAACCCTAATTCCTTAGTGATCTTAACTTTATTAACCCTATTAGAATCCTAATCCCTTAAAAATTTCTTTTCAAGTTAAGCCTTTAAATCAGTGAAT